ATGTTGCCTCAATAGATACTCCACTATTCTGGACCGTACTTTTGTCATCTTGTGCCTTCGTATAGAATGAGTATTTGTTAATGTCATACCCTTGCCAAGTTATAACATTATATCTAGGCCCATGTGCTAGCCATTTCGAGTGTATCGGAGGCATTGTCACTTGAAAATATTTTGCTTTGAAACCAATTGATAAAGTTGTTGTTATGCTCTTTCATCAACCACCTTTCACCCATTTTGGGGTTTAGGTCCTTTAACATTGCTTTATGCGCATCTATGTAAGGAATAACCTCTTACGTATTGTTCAAAATATACAAGTGGGCGGTGGTCAACTCTACATGATCTTTTGTTTGAATTCTAATACCACGAGTTCCCTTACCATTTAGCTCTATCATCATGACGATTTCTAGGTACACCCACAGGTACGACTCTTGCCAAGTAATATGAACAAAATTCTATGGCTTCTTACGCAATATACCGCTCAACAATTGAAGTTTCGAGTCTATATGGACTTTTAGAATACCCTTTGAAGATCTTCATGTATCGCTCAATTGGGTACATCCACCTCAAATAAACCGGCCCACAAATTCGTATCTCCCTCACAACATGAACGATTAAGTGAATCATTATATCAAAGAATGATGGAGGAAAATACATCTCCAATTGACATAGCACAACCGTAGCCTCATTTTCCAACTCATCTAGTGATTTTTCATCGATAACCTTGGCACGAAATAGAATTGAAGAAAAAACATAGTCGCATAATGGCATGTCTAACATTCTTAGGCAATATGTTACGTATAGCCACGGGTAACAACTATTGCATCAAAACGTGACAATCATGGGACTTTAATCCAATTAACTTCAGATCTTTCATGGATACAAGACTCTTAATATTTGAAGAGTATCCTTGTGGCACTTTAATACTTGCAAGACAATGACATAAACTACGTTTCTCCTTCTTTGACAAGGTGTGACATCTTTGGTGGTAGATATGTTCTATTGCCTTCGGGCCTTGGATGTAATTCAGGACGTATTCCCATCTCACAAAGGTCTTGACGTGCTTTGATCCCATCCTTTGACTTTCCTTGAATGTTTAACAATGTGCCAATGAGACTATCACATACATTCTTCTCCACATGCATAACATCAATACAATGTCGTACTTCTAAATGGCTCCAATATGGAAGATCAAAGAAAATTGATCTCTTCTTCCACATGTTCTTGTCGAGAAGACCTTTTTTGGGTCTTTCCAAATGTAATGCTTATGTTCTTCACTCGATCGTAAACTTCTAAACCGAGTCAATGGTTCTCCGGCAATTTCATCCTCCTGTATGCCATTAAAAGCTTTCTTCGGTCTACGGTATGGATGGTCATGCGGGAGAAATTTTACGTGCTCTGTTATAAAGCTGTCTTCTTTCCATGTTTCAATTGTATATAAGCTGGTCTCTTCTTCACAAATAGGACAAGCATAATGCCCCTTCACACTATACCCATTCAAGTTTCCATAGGCAGGGAAGTCATTAATGGTGCAAAATAACATTGCATGCAACTTGAACTTCGCTGCTGATACCCATCAAATGCATCTACTCCTTCCTCCCATAATAGTGTTAAGTCTTCTATCAAAGGACTCAAATACACATCTATGTCATTTCCTGGTTGTCTTGGACCTGAAATCATCATACACAACATGACTTATTTGCGCTTCATGCATAACCATGGTGGAAGATTGTAAATCATCAATAAAACGGGCCATGAACTATGGTTACTACTTAAATTTCCAAAAGGATTCATCCCATCTGTTGCTAATCCAAGTCTAAGGTTTCTTGCATCACTACCAAAACTTGGAAATAGACGGTCAAAATTCTTCCATTGGGGAGAGTCGGATGGATGTCGCATTTGCCCATCACATGTTTTTCTCTTTGAATGCCAAATTAAATTTTTAGCATCTTCGTGAGCGTACAACTGCCTAAATCTTGGAATAATTGGAAGATACCATAAAACTTTTGCGGGAGGACGTTTTTTACCACTCTCCCGACTACAATCATCACCATCCTTCGTTTTGTAACGTGATACACCACATGTTGGACATTGGTCTAAAGATGAGAATTCTTTCCTGTATAACACACAATCATTAGGGCAAGCATGTATCTTCCTATATTCTAAACCCATCGGACATAGTATCTTCTTCGCTTCATACATACGATCAGGCAAGGTGTTATTGTCCGGGAGCATCTCCTTCAAAAGTTGGAGTAATTCATTAAAACTTGTATCACTCCAACCAAATTTTGCTTTTAGATTGACCAATCTTAACACGGATGACAACCGTGTGAAAGTTGTACATCCGGGATACAAAGATGTCTCCGAATCGGTCCTCAATGTATCATATATAGATGCATGTGCTTCAAGAAAGCTCTCTTGACCCACATCACAAAGCATGTCCTCTATTCGATCTTCGCAGGTTACATCATCCTCAATAGTTTGTGATACTGTTGGAATATCAACCACTTCACCATGTCATGTCCATATGGTGTAATTCTTCATCATCCCATCGCAAATAAGATGCTCCCGCGTTGTGTCCATCTCTTGTACTCTGCCATTTACACAATTAACGCATGGGCAGTAGATTTTTCCATTCATTTTGGGAGCATTTTGTTCGGCAAATTTCAAAAAGGAGTCAACTCCATTCTCATACTCTTCTGACATACGACTTGCATTTACCCAAGTTCGATCCATCTAACTACACAAAAAGGCTTGCCTAGATATTCAAGGTTTATTAGAAAAGTTTTAACAAAACAATACAAAAAAACGTGTACATTGCCTAACAATGCTCTAATGTTCCATACATGCTCTAATGTTCCATATACCACTTCGAAACCTAAACCTAAACCTAAACGAAACCTAATGTTCCATATACCACTTCGAAACCTAAACGAACCTAGATCAAATCAAACCATATATACAAAATCATCCATCATCTTTCTAATGTTCTTACGCAGGAAATGCTCTAAATAATCCATATTTATGTTAAATGCATGCTGTAAATCATCCATACAACTTAATCTAACCTGATGAGAGCGCGGCATGTGGGCGGCGAAGGGGCGGCGAGGGGGCAGAGCACGGCAGTGAGGACTGAGGCAGCAGACCACAGCGAATGAGGTAGCAGCGGCGAGTGGGCGGCGAAGGGGCGGCGAGGGGGCAGAGCGAGGGGGCGGCGAAGGGGCGGCGAGGGGGCAGCAGTGAGGACTGAGGCACAGCGAAGAAGAAGCAGAAGGAGGGAGTATGTGGGACGAAGAAGACGCAGACAAGGGGGCAGCGCGCCTAGGAGGAGAGGTATAAAGGACATTCAACGTCGGTTATTAAAAACCCCGACGTGGATAACGCTTTCGACGTCGGGTAAATCATGTAACCGACGTTGATTTTGGGAATTCAACGTCGGTTATACATAACCGACGTTAAATTTAAACATTTAACGTCGTCTGTCATATAACCGACATTGAATTGCAGTTACTACGTCGGTTATTATATAACCGACGTTAAATTTTGTTTCATAATTACAAGTTTGTCATCGCGTCTTGTACAACGTCGGTCTTCGTGATAACCGACGTTGGGTGCTGTCGTAGAAAGTGTTTTCTGTAGTAGTGTGTTGTATAGAATTCTCACCAAAGTTGCTACTAATAGTCTTTTCGGGTTTAAGGAGTTTTTCAATTGGATGATACTTGTAATTTGTTCAAGTTGCTTAGGACTCAACTCCTTCAAAATTTATTCATTTGCATTATATTTCTCAAGAGAATTTTCTTCTTTCTTTTTTATGGTGTTTGTGGTGTGGTTATACTTTTGCTTCATCTATGGTGGATAACCATGTTTGGAATAACACTCGTTTGCCGTATAATTCATCTTGTCGCTGTTGGTGGGGAAAAAATCGAGAATCTGAATCGAAAATCGAAAGAAGAAATTCGATGATTATTGCTGAGGAAAATCGAGAATCTGAATCGAAAGAAGAACAAAGGAAATTCGATGAACATGATTGAGGAGGTAAAAAATCAATTATAGGTATTGAGTGTGAGGCTAAGTGGGAAGTCAGAAGCAGTTTAAAATACTCGATGGTTGAGGTCGAGATCGAGGGAACGGTTAAAGTGCACATGAAATATGGGAAGCGGTTTTCTAAATCTTGGCTAAGTTGGAAATCGAGGAATGGTTAACGCGCACATGGAACATGGGAAGCGATTTTCTAAAACGTGGCTAAGGTGGAAATCGAGGGACAGTTAACGTGCACATGGAACGTCGTAGCGGTTTTTAAACCACTCGTAGGAGGTTACCTTAAAGAACATCTATAAATAGAGCGAAATAAATAGAGCGAAGCATGAAGACAGTAAGGGAAATTGGCAGAGAGAACAGAAACACAAATGAACAAGTCTACCGGAGAACGACGAATCATGAAGTTTCTGGCGATCTGGATTTCCATTTTCATTTACTGTTGTTACCGCTTTCTTTATTTTCCCTGGTACTTTATCTTTAATGCAATCTAATTTTATGTGTCTTTACTTTCATGTTATTTCAATTCATTGTCATTTACACTTATGCAATTTTAAGATTCTGTATTTACGCTTAACGCAATACATCTTTGTCTCGATATTTTGATTTTATCTCATTTACTCTTAGTGTAATTTAATTTTACATATTACTTTTTGTTTCGACAACCTTTTTACTGCTTACGTTACTTCTGTTGTTAATCTTTATATTCTCGAGTTTCTTAAATAAAAATACAAAAAAAAAAGGGAGAACTTTTCGATTTCAGTATGTATGCTATGTTGCGTTTTCCGCGTTTCTAATATGCATGCTTTATTTTCCATTTGGCTCGATATTGTGACATTTTCGATTTACATACATTTTTTTATTGAAAAACAGTTTGCTAACCTAAATAAAAAGAATTTATGTGGTTAAAATTTGGTTAGAACCTAAGTCTTTAGGAAATCGAAACAACCAAAATTTTCACCAGAAACTGTCGCAAAAAGAACATTGCTTTCCATAGTTCTTTCCTCTTCCTCTCCCATAATATTTCAATTCTTGAGATCCATTTTCGTTCTTGGTGTCATTCTTTGAATTCTGTTGTCCAGTACTATTGCTAAGAACTTTCTCATGGTTGATGTTTTCGCTCAACTGCCTCTCTTGCTAAAGAACCATAGAGAAGTATATCAAATACTAAAAAATGATTACTCTTTGAAAATATTTCTTGAAGCTCATCTCACAAGTCTTTGACATTATCAATGCTTTGAACTATCTAAGATGTCAACATTTACGTTATCCAAGACACAGTCATAATGTTGTAGCATTCTCAAGCTTCATAATTGATTGCTACATGTTGTTTTAGTGATTTACCACTAAGGAACCTAAACTTATTTTTAGACATTAATATCCGCTCCATTGATTAACTCCATATATGTATGATTGTTTAAACTATCAAGTTGAGGTGTAACCAAAACTGTCCCTAGATTTTCTCTTAATGTAAAAAATATGGGCTAGAGGGATTCTGCGATACACCCATTGAACAAGAGAAGAAATAAACGCAAAAGAAGGAACAAACAAAAACAAAAACCACAAAACTAGAACGAAATAAAGAGGAAAAACACTACTAGAAAAATGTCAAATAGTAACCGAAATCAATGACCGGAAAATTTAGTTACTAACAGTGACCGAATTAGTAACCAAATTATAATTTTTTAGTTTAGTAACTGAAATAGTAACCGAATTTTTGGTCACATAAAATCGGTTACTATTTCAGTCACTTTATTATTTAATTTATTTACATTTAATTTATGTAATTATTTTTGTTTTTCAATTATCCCAAATTTTCTTCATCTTCTTCTTCGCGTATCAACCACACTTGTTCAAGCTTAACCTAGATCCTTCATCTCTGCATCTCCAAGCGAATTCGAACCTCAACCCCAGCCTCAACCTCGACGAACTCGAGACCCAAACCCAACTCCGACGGTGTCGAACCCCAATCCGAGGCGAAACCCAGTTGACCTCGAACCCTAGCCCAAACCTCAACGCCCTTGAATCCAAGCGACCCGCAACCGTGGCGACATCAAACCCTAACCTAAGCCTCGGTGAACCTACCTTGACGACCTCGGTTCCAACCAAAACCCATGAAACCTCGTGTTAGAACCCTAACCTTGACGAACTTGAATCCTAACTCGATTACCTCAAATCCCATCCCAAAACTTGACGACCTTTAACCCAAGCATAGGACATCACGAACACGGCCTCTATAAACACGGTAATGCTTCTTCAATCCATTTGAATTTCCTTATTCAATCTAGTTTTACATGGTATGTTTTTTATATGTGTTAATGGATGCATGGGTGGTGCTACAAAAGCAAATTTCTTATCTTGATTTACTTGGATTGCAAATTGAAAACTTCAGTAATAGCTCCTTTAGGTTGGTATTACTCGAATCTTTAAATATAATTAAGGCCACAATGTTAAATTTACTTGGATTACAAATTGGAAACTTGAGTAATAACTCCTTTAGTACATGTTTCCCTATTTGCTCTGTTACGTTTGCTTGATGAGTTTTTGTTATCTTCTTTGATTTATGATTGGAATTATGATGAAAATGTGAAAATAGATATATTGGTTGGGCTAAGAGTTTGTAAGTAATCTGGTTTAGTGAAGTGTGTAAGAGGGTTTTCTCTAATACGGTTAAGACCATCATGGCAATACATACTAAATTACTAATGAATAGAACAATTAAAAAACACTTAAAGGTTACGTTGCTTTCATGGTTTTGTAATACTTGAAATAAATGCCTAACTTATAAAAATCATAGAAAATAATTCACTGATCCAATTGTATCCTTTTTTATGTTTTTATCCAATTCACTACTATTCTATTTTAATGTTTATAGGCAGAGTTTAGTCGTGCACGGGAAGAAGCCTCTCAATCGGGATCTATTGCGGGAGGTACTCCGCTTTGATGAATTAGAGGTTTGGTGTAAAGTTGCTTGGAATAAACAAAGGCAAAGTATATGGGCTTGGATCCGAGTCAAGCAAAGCAATTGGGAGAAATCTTTGTCACGACTCTAGTTCATCATCTCGTCCAGACTTATGAGGGAGGAGATTGAACAATTAAAAAACAAGTTACTTGGAAGTTCGGACTGAAAGGGATGATCTCCGTGAAAGAATGTTAACTAATGAGAGAAAAATTCAGAAAAATGATAAAATGTTGCTCCTCTTGATGGAGAAGATGGATGTTCTACCTCCTGAATTGTGAACTGATTCTACTATGTATATTGTATTTGTTTTGTTAGAAGTCGACATTTTTAGAATTATGACTCTTACTTTAGTTTATCCTAGTTACTTTTTTATATTGAATTTTCAATATGTAAGAAAGTATTTAATTCATGAATGATGACTTTATTTAGAACAAAATTTGTGGTATTATTTTGATGGTTATCTTATGTAGTAAAATTTTCATATATTTAATATAATATATAATGTATCATAGGTTTATCGTTATTTTAATAATTCATTAATACGTTTTTGATTCTTTAACGAGAATCTACGATAACGTTTATATCAATTAAAACACTTTACAAAAAATTTTCTAAGTTGATTTAATCGATTGTTTTGTGATTCAATCGACTTAAATACTGCAAAACTTTCTTGTACAACTTTTCAAGTTATTTTAACTGATAAAAATAAGTTTTAATGGATTAAAACGTTGTGCAGAAACTGTTTTAATCGATTGAAAGGAGAATTAATCGATTAAAAGAGTTCTGATCGGTCATAATTGCATTATGACCGATCATAATAGAAAGGATATCATAGCGGTTCTAGGAGAACCGCTATCTAAGTGAAGTTTTAAAAGCGGTTCATGTGTAACCGCTTTCTAAAACATATTTCGCTTGAGCTAGAATCTTCTCGCTCGAGCGAAACACCCTACACAGAATTGGCAATCTCGGGGTGTGTTTCGCTTGAGCGACATGTTTCTCGCTCGAGCGAAAAGCTATGCTAGAACTGTTTTAATCGATTGAAACGAGATTTAATCGATTAAAAGAGTTCGATCGGTCATAATTGCATTCGACCGATCATAATTGAAACGATTAGATAGCGGTTCCAGGTGAACCGCTATCTAAGTGAATTTTTATAAGCGGTTCCGTGTAACCGCTTTCTTAAACATATTTCGCTTGAGCGAGAATATTCTCGCTCGAGCGCAAACACCCTCGAACAACATTGGCATTCTCGGGTTGTATTTCGCTTGAGCGACTATAATCTCGCTCGAGCGATGGTGCAACCGCTATTAGAAGTAAATATAAACATTTAAATATATAAATATATATAAATATGTAAAGATATAAACATATATCTTTAATATTTTGTAAATGTAAATATAATTTATATATTTTTTTAAATCTTTTTCTAATATTTATTTTTAAAAATATAATATTATTTTTAAAATATAATATTTTTTTTCAAATATATAAATATATAAAGATATAAATGTATAAGGATATAAATAAATGTATAAATATATAAATATATTAATATATAAATATATCAATATATAAATATATCAATATATATATATATATATATATATACAAATATATCAACCTCCTGAATGATAAAATGTTGCTCCTCTTGATGGAGAAGATGGATGTTCAACCTCCTGAATTGTGAACTGATTCTACTATGTATATTGTATTTGTTTTGTTAGTAAGCTGACATTTTTAGAATTATGACTCTTACTTTTAGTTTATCCTAGTTACTTTTTTATATTGAATTTTCAATATGTAAGAAAGTATTTAATTCATGAATGATGACTTTATTTAGAACAAAATTTGTGGTATTATTTTGATGGTTATCTTATGTAGTGAAATTTTCATATATTTAATATAATATATAAATGTATCATAGGTTTATCGTTATTTTAATAATTCATTAATATGTTTTTGATTCTTTAACGAATCTACGATAACGTTTACATCAATTAAAACACTTTACAAAAAATTTTCTAAGTTGATTTAATCGATTGTTTTGTGATTCAATCGACTTAAATACTGCAAAACTTTCTTGTACAACTTTTCAAGTTATTTTAACTGATAAAAATAAGTTTTAATGGATAAAAGGGTTTCTAATAATTCATAAAGGAGATTTTCTATTTTTATAATTCAATTAGATGATAAATATAGAAATATACTTTTTGTGGTTGTTGAAGATATTATTTTCTATTTTCTTCTCCATTAATTCAAAGTTAAATAAAATGAAATAAAAAAGTTATTATTCTTTGTTTTAATATTCATTATTTTTCTTTTTATTTCTAATATAAATTCTATTGGATATTTATAGAATAATACTAAAGATTTTCATTAGATTAGTTTACTTAATTCATGAGTTGATTAAGAAGTATGTTGATTTGGAATCACAGGATGGGTAAAACGCTGTGCAGAAACTGTTTTAATCGATTGAAAGGAGATTTAATCGATTAAAAGAATTCTGATCGGTCATAATTGCATTATGACCGATCATAATAGAAAGGATATCATAGCGGTTCTAACTGAACCACTATTTAAGTGAAGTTTTAAAAGCGGTTCATGTGTAACCGCTTTCTAAAACATATTTCGCTTGAGCGAGAATCTTCTCGCTCGAGCGAAACACCCCTGCACAGAATTGGCACTCTCGGGGTGTGTTTCGCTTAAGCGACATTTTTCTCGCTCGAGCGAAAAGCTGTGCAGAAACTGTTTTAATCGATTGAAACGAGGTTTAATCGATTAAAAGAGTTCTGATCAGTCATAATTGCATTCTGACCGATCATAATAGAAAGGATATCATAGCGGTTCTAGGTGAACCGCTATCTAAGTGAAGTTTGAAAAGCGGTTCCTGTGTAACCGCTTTCTAAAACATTTTTCGCTTGAGCGATAATAGTCTCGCTCGAGCGAAAACACCCCTGCACAAAATTGGCTTTCTCGGGTTGTATTTCGCTTGAGCGACTATAATTTCGCTCGAGCGATGGTGCAATCGCTATTAGAAGTAAATATAAACATATAAATATATCAATATATATATATATACAAATATATCAATATTATCCCCTCATATATTAATATACATTATTAGCATAATTTTAATTTAAGTAAAAATTAGAATACAAATATACTATACTATACTAATATACCATTATATTATTTTCATTGTATATAAATTACAAAATTAATAATTTGTATACTATACTAATATATTATTTGTATACTATACTAATAGTATAATATACTATATTATAATATTATTTGTATAGAAAACTAATATCTTTATATATAAATATGAAAAGATATAAATATATGTAAAAATATGAAGATATAAATATATGTAAAAATATAAAGATATAAATATATCAATATTTAAATATATCAATATATTGATTAGATTTTCGAAATGATACAAATATATAAAGATATAAATGTATAAGGATATAAATAAATATATAAATATATCAATATATAAATATAAGTTTCTTGTAAAACTTTTCAAGTTATTTTAAGCTGATAAAAATAAGTTTTAATCGATTAAAACGCATTGTGCGAAATTGTTTTAATCGATTGAAACGAGATTTAATCGATTAAAAGAGTTCGATCGGTCATAATTGCATGCTTGAACGATCATAATTGAAACCATATAATAACGGTTTCAGGTTAACCGCTATCTAAGTGAGCTTTTAAGAGCGGTTCTCGTGTAACCGCTATCTAAAATGTATTTCGCTTGAGCGATACTCTTCTCGCTCGAGCGAAACGTCCCTGCACAAAATTGGCATTCTCGGATTGTATTTCGCTTCGAGCGATGGTGCAACCGCTATTAGAAGTAAATATAAACATATAAATATATACTATACTATACTATACTAATATACCATTATATTATTTTCATTGTATATAAATTACAAAATTAATAATTTGTATACTATACTAATAGTATAATATACTATATTATAATATTATTTGTATAGAAAACTAATATCTTTATATATAAATATGAAAAGATATAAATATATGTAAAAATATGAAGATATAAATATATCAATATTTAAATATATCAATATTTAAATATATATTAAAATATATAAATATATTTTTATTTATAGATTTTATATTTATATATTTATACGGATATACATTTATTTGTATATAAATATAATTTATTTGTAAGTTATTATTAAAAGATCATAGTAGCTCGAGTGGTTGGAGTTTCACCTTCAACTCGAGTGCTGGGTTGAATCACTGATAATGATAATAAACCACCTAATAATAAGTTAAGCTTCTAAAAAATATAATATAATTAAGAGATAGGGGAAATAAATATAAATAAAAACTTAAATAAGCAAAAATATAATATAATTAAAAGAGATCAAGAACGGAGCACATGCAGGACATACTTGCTCTAATATCATATATTCATTACGAAAGAAAGAAAAGATTCAAACAAAAGAAGAAAAGGTAAAAGAATAAAATGAAAATATTATTACTATATATGCAAGATAAGTGAAAGTGATTATAAATATAAAAGAAGATGGACTTAAAAGGTAAAGAGCCCAAACCACAACAATGTGCAAATATTAGAGCTCGATAATTCATATTAAATCTACACAATCTTGAGCAGGGTTATGAAGAAAAATTGTGACGTAGAAAGTCCAAAACGTAAAACCAAAAGACACTGCACGCTTGCATGAAAAGCAAAATAATTAATTCTAGATGAGTGTAAGCAGCATCCTGGGAAAGATTCCGAATATGTAGCGAAAATAACTTCTGCTGCAGTAACGGTAACGTGGTTTTTCTGGCGGAGGAATGGTGTCATCGTCACGGGCATCGTTCAAGAGGGGTTGTTCCTTGGCCATGCTTTCACAAGATGAAGAGAATTAGATGTGAGTTGAAGGATTGAAGCAAGAAATTATGAAGAGAAAAATAAAGAGAATTAGATTAGATGGGTATATATTATACAGATAGAAAGGGAAAGACTTTTGGAAACGAAGATGGTATAATGAATTTGAATGGTAACATTAACGCGCTTCTGACCGAGTAGTGCCTGTGCTTTTTTTATCTTCTAAGTAATTATCCTACCTCCAAAGGAATCATCGAGCGGATCGCAATTTTTAAAATTAAACAATGAAAATATCTGTTATATGTTCATATATATGGGAATAAATCAAGTATAATATGATATATAAAATAATATATTATGATGTATTTAATATATATATATATATATATATAGAAACTTAATTTGTTTTACTCCCTATAGTAAATATTTATACCATTTATATAAAAATAGATTTTTAAAAATAGATTTTTTTCTAATAAAGATTTACAATAAAATAAATTAATAAATAAATAAAAATATTTAAAATTTCATCTTGTCAAAGTCTATCTCCTCTTAGACTTAACTGCTTCTTCGTTGTATAAATTCATAATCATCATAGTTTAAAATAATATATAATCATTATAATTTAAAATAAACATAATACACGTATAATAAACTAGTCATTCAAAATAAATATATTTAAAATTTTAATTCACATGCATATATTTTTTAAATATTAGAACATAGATACATCACATCATATTTATACATAGACTTGAGACAAATTTTAAAATATTAGATATTGAGTTACATGTTATGGCTTTTATACTTATCATATTAATTTCTCAAGTACTTAGCACAAGGATACTTTTTGACATATACATTTATGTGTGACCAAAATAAATTTCTAAATAATTTATTAAGACGTATTTTTTTTCACATAATAAGCTAAATCATTAGAAACTTCTTTTAATTATTATCATTTGATCATTTCATTTATGTGATTTTATAGATGAATAATGTAAAGATATCTCCTCAAGTCTCAAATTACTATCTATACATATTACACCAAACATATGAAAATGTCTTTAGTAATTCTTATATCACAACACAATCTTTTTCTGAAACATAATAACATTTAAACATGCATCATCTTATGTTCATAATATGTATTCTAACATCTTTAAGTCATGTACATATCATTTCTCACGTTTATAAACAAAATATTTTTTTTTTAATTTGACATATACCTATTTTTTTTACCATAACTTTTTTCGTAAATGTTATTTTTTTACTAATCCTCATTTTATTGGATTCTTCAGGTTTCGCATCTATGGAACGCTTAATTTAGAGTTCACATTTAGTTTTTATGATTTTTTGAACATGGCCAAGTCAAATTTGAATGGTTAAATGAATTATACACATACTCCCGTGTTAGTTTCTATCAAAATTTTGTTGAGTGACAACACATTTCGTTAAGGAAAATTTTCATAGAATTAAGTCTTTAATATTGACTCAAATTCGTTGGGAGAATTTAAAATATTGAACGGAATTTAAGCAGTTTTAACATTGTCTTAGATCCGTTGGGTGGATTCATGGTAGTACTAAACTAAATTATTTATCCAACACACTATTCTCATTGTTCAAAATCAAATTAAATCTAAAGACTACTATCAAAATTCTAAATCAATTCCCTAAATTCAATCTAAGTACAATATATCATACAAAAGACTAATATTATCAATCTCATAAATATCAATTTACATTCACATTCTATATTCAATTTCAATCATCACAAATCAATACACATTAAGTACACAATTCAATTTTTTGCAAATCAAACAATTTGACAAAATCATTTCCAAAGTCTAGATCTTCTAGTCTAGAGTATAATGAAAAAAATTAAAAAATAACTAATTTTTCTTATCTTAAGTTCATAGGTTCAATTTCAAAAGATTCTAAAGTCAAAAGTTAGACCTTACTCATAAGAAAAACTCAATTAACTAATAAAATCTATTACAATATTTTTCAACAAGTGAATATTCATCTTTATTCAATAAAACTTACATGTATATATCTTGGACCCATGTAAGATCCTCAAAATTACATATAAATATTTTAAAATAAACAAAAAAAAAATTACACTATTTAAAATTCTAATAAGGTACAAATACTCTCCTCTACTCGGACAAAGAATGAGAGTAACAAGGATAATAGTAGTTTTTTTTTCTTTCAATCTATCTCCCTCTTTTCTTTACTCACTCTCGTAGGCACACATATTGCACTCAGATACTAGTCTATAACTTGACCTGTATAGACTAAAGTCATGTTAAACATTTAAAAAAAAAAGATTAATCCTATAAAACTTTTTTAGTTAAATAGATTAAGTATCAGACACTTTTGAACGTATTTGTACTACCACATTAACTTCAATCACAACCACTATATTTTTGACAGATGCACAATTTAACCAACTCACTAAAAATATACTTAATCACATTAGTTTAGGAATTTAAAATTTTAAAAATATTTACAATCAATAGGATTAGATATCAACAATAACACACCACAAATCATAAAAAGTTTGCACCACAATACATACATTAGAGAGGATCTCGATCCCTTAAGTTAAGAAATACTGAGAAAATTATGTTAAAGTTTTATCACGTGAATAATATACCAGATATGCTATGTACGTAGACCTGAATATAAAAGCAAACACAATTCTAGAGGAGTACATCAAAATAAATTTATTGCAACAAAACATATACATTAATTACAACATATAGTCAAAGAATGAATAAAATAATGGCAAAACTCATTTAATTAATTATTAGAATTTAAACAATGGTAATAATACAAAGAAATCAATGGCAGACAGAGTCTAGAAATCGACATCGCACTTGGTGGCCTGAAACAAAGTTACGGCGCCATTGTTACCGAAGGGAACCTTGAGGTCACATTTAACCTTGGGCTTCAAGTCACCGGATATGATGTCTCCGAGCCTGTATCTAATCCTGAAGTAGAGCTTCACATAGATGTCGTAAACCCCATCGTTCTTGTCTTGGTTCAACTGATTAACTTGATCATTGTCTAGTGTCAGCACTCGATACCCTGAGAAAACAGCGCTCATGGGGCTGCTGCTCTTCTTGTACTGGCGGAAGGAGTTCATGTGCGTTATCACATCGTAATTCGAGAACCTGGCATCCTCGTAGAATGCTAATGCCTCTACTTTATCGTAGTAGATGCTAAGCTTCTTGTTGGGGTTACGTGCAGTGAAGTTGAGAACCATGTTGTAGTGGAGGGTGTTGTTGTTGGAGTTGAACTCGAATTGGGTTAGCTCAGCTTCCGTGACATGGAACTTGAAGGAGCGGGGTTGAACCACCAGCCAGAATATGAGGATTGCGAGGCCAACAATCACGATGAGTGCAACCAGTATCTTCCACAAGATTCCGAAGAGGCAGCAACAGCAACTTCTTTCACGTTGAGGGCGGTAGCGTGGTGGCTCCCCGGCGGGAATGGCGGGACCGTAATAAGCACCGTTCAAGTGGGGTTGCTTATCGGCCATGGTTGTTGAATGCAGATTAATAAATGAATGAACAGAAAATATGTAGGTTGATGCAACTAAAACTAAATACAAAGGGTGAAGAGAATGGGGAATTGTAGAAGAGGAGTTGATGATGGAGAGAAGGTGGTGAATTGTGAGAAGGGAGTGGTGCTTGTAAGTATATATAGATAGGAAAGAGATTGAGGTTTGTATGGGTACGCGGTTGTCACTATACGTGTCCGCGATCTTTATTTTGTAGTCATGAAAGGAAAGGAATCAATCAACAGCGGATTTGTATTGACTGGGGCAAAGTTTGATCTTGATTGCCCGCAACAACAAACAGGAAGGAACATTCTGCAGAAGAAACAAGTGCAAAGGAACTATCCTATAACTTTTTTTTTTTTAATAATAAAATAATAATAAACATAAAATTATTATAAATTTAATAAAAAATTGTTGTCTGATTGTGGATCTAATATTTATTTAAAAAAATATGATGTAATGATAAAAAATTTCTAACAATAACCTTTTCATTAATTTCATATAAGTAAATTTATATTTTTATGTTCATTATTATTTTTTTATTATTAGAAAGATGGTTAGAGAAGAGTGAGGTGTTTATACGCAGTGTAATTTTGTTGACTTGGGCCAAGTTTGACGTAGATTGACGGCAGCAACAACGACGAAGAAACATTGGTACGGAAGAAATGCGTGTTTAGTTGTAGCCCCCTCCTAGTTACTCATAGTGATGATATGATCTAGTCAATATATGAGCATAAACTGTCCACCAAAAAAGAGCACGTGAGTGTGAAATTTTCATGGACGCATTAGTAAGAAATTTGAACTGTTCAAAATCGTTGCTACAATCCGAATGCCTTTTATTTTATATACTCTATATAAAATTTTGTTAAATGATGTGCCCTATCGCATCCCATTAATTGTTACCATTTAGTCTACATCTGAAAAGCTGTGCGATGAGCTTCATCAATGATTGATTTGTTTTGGTGGAGTGCAATTTAAAGGGATAATAGATTTAACTTTTAATCTAAATATATGAATTCGCCTATGGGCTAGGAGATTGGGCTTAATGGCAGAAACAAAGGGATCCTTTTAATCAACCAGTTGGGTCCAGATGATCCATATGAGCCCACGATAGAGAAGAGGACCAAAATGAAGCTGCAATAATGGCCGGCCAGAATTTTTTCACCTCACCCTTTTAGATGGTTTTAGTTGATTAGTTTAACTAGAATGTACAAACATTTTTTTATTAATAAAAATATTTTTTTATTTAATCAAAATAGCAAGATGTTATAAGTTTATTAAAATTTATATTATTATTTTAATTTTTAAACATTTCGTTATAGTATAATTAATAAAAATTATAGGAAAGAGAAAATATATGAACTGAACTTAATTTATTGTAAAGATATATTGAATTTTAAAAGTTATACGAAAAGGCTGTATATTTATTTAGATGAAATGACCTTAACTACATACTAATTTGAGTGAATTGAATTATTTAAAATATTACAAGCTAACAATATTCTATAATTTTGAAACAGTGTCACATCATATATGTACATAAATTTGTTCATAAAAAAATAGAAATTTGTATTTATCAATCAAATATTTTTAACTTTTTTTTTTTTTAAGAATTGGACATGGAATCATTAGAGTACAACACCATCGTGTAATTGAAAGTCATTTTCGAAAATATTTGGCACTTGTTTCTAGCCCCATAAAGCGGAAAAATATATCTGGTTGAAGGAAACAGTGAAATACTAATATAAGATAAAGAAAGAAGGAATTGAGATTTTAGTCAATTCAGCGATATACGAGTGTGTGACAGAGAGACCATGTGATTGATTATTGTGTCCTGTTAGCAGCAAGCAAAATACAATAATATACGACTAAAACGTTCCTCTGTATGGGGGTGCTGAATTCAGAGTTCTTGATGAGTATTGTATGGAACTTCGTGAGTCGTTATCAAATTAATTTTCCTCGCCAAAAAGAAAAAAAGTTACATCCAATCACATGCACATGGTGGTGACTGGTTTTGAATGTTGACGAATCAGAGAAGGTTCCTTTAATTTGCTCTACCTTGACGGTGCTGAATACCAAATCTGTTCAAACACTACTTGATGCTAAGCATGCATGTGTTCTGTTGGGCTGTCCAAGTCCAAGTTTCTTATTTTTCTATTACAATATGCTTTAAATTAACAGCATAATTAATTGGACTCCATTTTGAATTGCAGGCATGATGACATAAGGAAAACCTTCACCACATCAGTAGTAGGCAAGTTAGGTAAAGGGGACTGGGAAAAGACAATCACCACCATCATTCCATGTGGAAGGAACGTGAACATACCCTCCACTCCTACACCTCAATTAACAGATGGAGGTGGTATCTAATAGAATACACTTCTAACATTGAATCTGGGTTTAGGTAGATAAATCACTAAATTAAAAATAATAAATTTCCAAAATTATCATACTTAATTACTGATGATCCAATAATGCGTCATAATGCACATGCAAAACCGAGAAAAGAAAAGCCTGAGAGAATTCAAGCCAAATAAAACGAGAATCATGTATGAATATCCTTGAAAGAAGGAGACAGAACTTTTATTATCCAAATCGAAACAACATATTAATTCATCTCAATCAGCTTTGTTACAAACTGTGATTTGCTTCATCTCTCTTACATACTTATCTCCAACTGAAGTTTTATTCTGTAGCAAAATGTACAATTTCAATTACTGTAACAAAGACACGCACGTATACCTAAGGACAAAACGATCCATCTGAGAAGAAATACGTAGGTAGAAGAAGAGAATAATACGTATATAAAGAAATGAGAAAGACCGTATGTAGATAATAGATACTAAATATACGAAGGAGCAGAGCAGAGCATAGCATAGCAGAGGAAGACAGAATATATAAAAAGGTAGAAACGGCGTTGGCGTCAAACCCCGACGGTGCAGCGCTGAACCAGTTGATACTTAACGGCGTTATTGCTAAGAGCGATCCCGGTGCTTCGAGGGCCAAAGGTTATAAACGCAGGGCACCTTACGTAGAGGTTGTAGTGGCCGGAGACGAAGGCACCGACCTTCCATCGGACTTTACCGTCAATTTTAACGATGACGAGGACGTTGCCGTTAGACTGGTCTTGACTGAGGCCAAGGAAGTTGTAGGGTGCGACGGGGACGTCGTTGCCATAGACGAATGGGGACCACACGTCTTCTTCCTTGTGACCTTGGTAGGCGGGAGGGATTGAGGTCCGGTAGGTGACTTGCTGGTTCCTGTAGGTGACGTAGGTGCTGAGACGGTCGTAGTAGATGCCGATATTGTCGTTGGGGTTGCGCGAGGACAGCGTCACCTGAAAGCTTGAGGTTAGGAGGTTCGGGATGGTGGCGTTGAACCCGAATACGGTGACGTCTTGGAGGATGAAGGTTGGCTTTGAAGGCTTCAGAATCGCCCAGATTATGAGAACTGTCACCAACACGATGAACGCGAAGATCACTATGCCCCAGAATATGCGTTTCAAGACCTTGTGCTTCTTTCCCTTGTGGTGGTGGCACTCCTTCACCGACATCGTTGCTGCGGTACCCGGTGGAGCTAAGGTGAGAGTAGGTTTCGTGAGGATATTATGCGAAGATAGAAGCCAGAGGGGTTGGAAGTTTGTTACTTTAAGGTGTTTGTTTATGTATAAAAATAAATATTAATGTTTGGGTTGAAATGATATGGTAGTATCATGTTAGATGATAGAGGATTATTATATTGGGTGCAAGTTAATGGTTGAGGTTAATTAATTTGCTTACTAGACATCATGTACGTATGCTTAGTCAGCGCTTGAATGATTTTTTTTTTGGTTCGTGTTTCTTTCTTTATCTTTTCTATTATAAGTTGCCAAGTACTAAATTAATGTCACGTCATTTTAATACCGGTTCGATTGAAACCTAAATCAAATGATGTTACTCTCATTGGTTCCTTATTTCCGAACCGTTATTTTCCTATAAATTAATTTGTCCTTGGCTTGGTTCGGTATGGTGGAACGAACACATGCGGGTTAAGGAGGGGTTTTTCATGATTCTTCTGCAACTTTCCTTCGTGTCTTTGTGCATAACTTAAGGTTATGTTATGGACGGTCTTATAGACTGCTTAGAGTTATTATTTGTCATGGAATATTCTAGAACAGTTTTAAGGGCATTTTGAACGTTGATTCAATTTGTTGAAAATAAAATTTAACGAATACTAGGATGTGTTTAAAACACTCTTTTTAAGACAGTTTAGAAAGGGAAAATTAACAAATTTTGAATTGGAAGGGAGTCCCCGCATCCTTTGTCCTGTTAGCTGGTAAGGGGTGTTCTTTATCCACCCTTGAGATAACATTGTTCGGTCCATAGAAATGGTGTGCCAAAATAATTGGGAAATTATGATCATTCATGGCCTACAAGAGAGGAATCAGAATATTGCTGACTTGTAAACGAGTTATTTTCATACAATGCTTTAGAATTGGGACTTAATAAATGCATGTGGCTCCCTCTGTTTGCTACTTGGTTGTTGAAGCATTACAGATAAGCATATTTACTAAAATTATGTTTTTAACAATGTAATTTGTCTATGAAGGGTGAAGTGTTCTATTCATTACTGGCCAAAAATACAAGTCTATTTCCACAAAAGCGCTTGAGATTAGTGTGTGAATGATTCCTTGGCTCCCTTTCTATTCCTTGTTGGAATAAGGTCACGATAAATGGCATTAAAGAGATTAATTGCGTTAGCTGAAAGTTTGTTTTCTCATTTTGCGGACAAGGACCGAATTGTGAGTGGAAGAATCCATTCCTGGAAATCTGAAATTTCTTTGACGATGCATTATTCTATCTCCTTTCTAACGGAAATATTTGACTCAACATTTGTTACAACAACTGTTTAATTCAGTAAGTAGATAAACAGCTATTTCTAATTGAAGCCCTATTTTAAAAAAATGAGGAAAGTTGATGATTGGTCCTAGGTCCTTCATGACCTATATATATATATATATATATATATATATATATATATGGATGTTTCCAGCAAGACATTATAGTAGGACCCACTTGTGATGACCAAAAATGCTCCCAGCTCTGCCACACCGACCATCCTTTGGTTTTTCTGAACGAGTTTCCAGAATATACTTGGTAGCACCAGGGCCCGAGCAAAGGGATAAAGCCTTCATAGCAGAGCGTGGATCAATGAAAATGACGCCATGTCCTCTGGCTCAACTTCTCAACAGTGAAAAAAGGGCCATGACATAATCATGTATTCCAAAAGGTTTTGACATCAAATTTTATAATCATTTTTAATATTTTTACGTACTCCTATTTACTTTACGCAAAACTATATTTCACATTAATCTTGATATATGGAAAATTGATCCAAAAATGTAGAAATGCGGGTACAATAATACATTTATAATCGTGTCGCTTTCATTAGTTGCAATCTAACCACTCCTACTGTCTCCAATTGATGTATTTATTATTATTATTATTATTATGTAGAGTTATGAATAAAGAAGCAACCCCCAGTTCTTTCTTTACTCTCTCTTTTACTCTAAAATAATTGAGAAACTTACTGCTTCGTTGAAATTTCAAAGTATAGAAGTAAAACGTAAATAACCAGTCAAAGCTCCACAACTACAAAAGCAGCTTAATTAATGTTGTTCAATAAAAATGTGTTAAAATTAAATATAATTATTTTAATAAATTTTCATAAAACTTATTAAAATACAATTTTTCTGAAGTGCGGCTTAAACTAATTAAAAGATATTCTCAGTTTCTTCATAAAAAATTCAAAATGTTAAAGAAAACGTCCATGACATATGCATGTTAGTCAACTTCGTATCATTTTCATAGCATTACCAGAAATATGTGGTCGGAGTTCAAATAGATTGGTTTAAACTACTGTCATTTTGAAATTTACTGAATTCTACTTAATACTTAAAAAAAGTCCATTTAAAAAATATTCGGATAAGAAAAGGAAAATAAATATAATAAATAAATTTATGAAATAAAATAAAATATAAATAATAGAGTTATTTTCTTTATAGGTCTTATACTAAATTATTTTAAATAATAAATTATAGTATTTTTAACCTAAATAAATTAATTAGAAAAGTCAATGTATGAAAATTTGAGCCAAGTAGAGAAACTATTTGTTTGTGATGGACGTGTTTGAAATGAGATTTCAATAGATCGTTTGAAAATTGAAGCAGAATTTAGTGCATAATGGTAACTTGTGTTCTCTGATTGAGGATTCGAACCATAAAAGTATTAGTAGAGTTGAAATACATTAAATTTTGTTATTATTAAAATAAGGCCAAGAAAATTCATCTGGGTAATCCAATTGAGGGGACCTATATATGTAGTTTGATCTTACCTTCTGGCTTACCCTTTACACACAAAGCATCAGCAACCTGATACGGCACATCTTATTGCAAAACCACAATGAAGACCAAGAAATTTTTTTATTTTTTTTACATTTCACAATCACAATGCATTATTTTATATCTAGTTGGTTTGACGCCAGAAAATAAGATTGTTTATATGTATATAAAACTGTGCTTCTTTCCATTGCTTTTTGAGAATAACTTGTTCAATCCGTGGGGTGGGGTCGGTACGCACTGACAAACGAAAGTTCTTTTGTTCAAAAGAATTGCAGAACATGACTAGGGAAGTTCCATGATTTCTGAAAATTAAATAATAGTTTATAAACCAAAAATAGATATTTTATAGTTTAAAATATAAAATAATTGCCATATAAAATAAATATTAAGATTGTACGAAAAATAGAATAATTCTTTCAACCGAAGCCAAATAGATGTGAAAAGGTGTGCGTGGATGCACTTGCACTGACATAAAGGATGAATTCTGAGTTTTGACCTTAAAAACCGTCCACGAGATCTTCTTCGGAATTCTAACATTCCTCAACTTAGCTACCACCTTTACTTTTTACACTCTATATTTGCCAACGTCAAATACAATCGAAAATAAAATATTCATAATATTATAACACGCAAAATATTTAAAATGCAAAAACGACAACAAGAGAAGGTTTTGCTCTTAATTTGTGGATATCTTCTTATCTTGCTACACATTTTGGCTTTGTTTAAACTCGTTAACTTGGTCACCACATGATGCATGCATTTTCATGTGCAAGAAGACATTAAAAAGCGTTGGAGGCTTAGATGTGAAAATTCTAGAATGGTTGAAAAGGCCAAACTTAAAAAGGACAGAAAGAAAAAACTCTTCAACGGGCCAATTATTTTTATTTAGACAAATTATGCCCAGTAAGCAATCCCGTGACAGCATCTTTACCTACCAAATCCAGACAACAATTTTATGACTACACATTGATTTATATTTTCATAAGATAAATTTTAAAATACATGCACCCAAAATAATTCATTATTTTAGAGGAATTCATTTTTCTACATTTTTTTTTAGTTAATCCACATAGACCAAGAAAGAGTTCGTAAATATAGTAGTAATGTTAAATTTATTAATAATTTATATTATTTTCAAAATTATATTATCTCATTTTTTATTTTATTAAATATAATGTGTTATACATATAATCATAACTATGCTTTGTTTATTTTCCGAATATTGCACCATGTAGCAAGTATATTGCTTTTATGTTTCCACTATATAACCAAATTGTTTTTAGCAGTATGAAGGTCTTGTCTTAATCTCTTAAGTATTTTTCTGCAATAGCTTCACAAGTATGACTCTTAAGCTCAATCCTTTACAAATTTAGACAATTTAAAATTTCCTCTTTTGGTAAACAAGGGCTAAAATGTTTCTTCACTAATTTAGTATTTTGTAATATATAATAATCCATTAACCAATTTTCATAGCAAAAATGATGTAGTTAAAAATAAAGTAAAGTGTTTTTTAAAATAGTTGCTGATAGATGAACTTAAATATTGAAGAGAAAAAAATATATATATTAAAAAAATCATTAAGATTTTCTCACTATCGTTAATAAAACCATCAATGCTAAAATGAAAGAAAAGAAAAAAAGACATATATTGATGTTTAAATATATATATATATATATATATATATATATATATATATATATATATATATATATATATATATATATATAAATAGTTACCTTAGCAGTCACACGTCCAATTATGACAACTAAGTACGATGCACGCATGATCTGATGAGTGAACGTGGACACATTTAGTATGATTATATGCCTAAAAAGAGAAGCAAGATTTAATTTGGTAATTGAGAACTCGAAAAACTCAAACCTCGCCTAAAGAAAACAAAACCAATAGGCACCGTCCTAGCAAAGGGTCATGCATGTGCAGAATTCCACTCAAAGCAAAGTGCCAAACCATCACGTCACAAACATCCCCAGAACCTTAGCGTTAGCTAGACCTTTATTGTTCGGCCTTTCAAAGATTTAGTTTAGTTAAGCTTCCTCCCAAACCCAGTATTTTCAAACTGGGCCTCATCTCATGTTCAGCCCAAATTCAATATCTGTGAGCCTAGCCTAGTTGGCCCATCAAACAAGAGTAATCTGGAACTTTATTCTTCTGACAATTTCAGAAATATATCATTTACAAAAACATTTGTTATTAGGAGGTGTGACCATGTAAAACACATTTTTTTATCCATGTCTCATATAAGGCTTTTTTTTCATAAATAATATTATTTTAAAAAATATTTTCTAAAATAACACATCTAGAACATTATTTACCCAATTAGCATTATTTATTGTTCACAGTACTCTCACTCAAGCGAGAAATGCATCGCTTGAGTGAGGAAACTTGAAACGTAAGAGTTTTGTGAGGTTTAATTTCGCTCAAATGATAAAATTCTCGCTCAAGTGAGAAACTCTTCGCTTGAGCGATGAGACCTAAAACAAATGGGGTAATCTTGGATGTTTTTTCGTTCAAGTGACATGTAATTTCGTTCAAGCGAGAACTGATTTAAATATGTGGTGACCCAAGTTGCATTATGTGACTAACTGTGTTGGACCTTTAGCTCGTGGTCGAGCAAGAACCGATTTTCAATTAGTTCTCGCTTGAGCAAAATTACATATGACTTGAGCGAAAAACACCGAGATTACCCCAATAGTTTTAGGTCTCCTTGCTCAAGCGATGGATTTCTCGCTTGAGCGAGAGATAAATAATCGATCATAATTTTAAATATTCAATTATTTTTAAATTATGATCCATTAGTTTAAATTATAATCGATTATAAATTTCATCGCTCAAGCGATAGATTTGTCGCTTGAGCGAGAGTTGACCACATTGAAAGGTCTAACGTAGTTAGCCAATCACTTCTCGCTTGAGCGAAATTACTCATCGCTTGAGCGAGAATTGACCCGAAATTACCCCATTAGTTTCAAATCTCCTCGCTCAAGCGATGGATTTCTCGCTTGAGAGAGAAATAATCGATCATAATTTTATATATTCGATTATTTTAAAATTATAATAGATTAGTTTAAATTATAATCGATTATAAATTTTTTCGCTCAAGCAATGGATTTCTCGCTTGAGCGAGAATTGACCACAAGTGAAATGTACAACGCAGTTAGCCAATCACTTATCACTTGAACGAAATTACCCCATCACTTGAGCGAGAATTGACCACAGGCTAAAGGTCCAACCAGTTAGCCACATAATACAACTTGGATTACCACATATTTAAATCAGTTCTCGCTCGAGCAAAATTACCCGTCGCTTTAGCGAAAATTACCCAAGATTATCCCATTAGTTTCAGGTCTCATTGCTCAAGCGAAGAGTTTCTCGCTTGAGCGAGAAAACTTCTCGTTCGAGCAAGAATTTTGTCGCTTATGCAAAATTAAACCCCATAAAATCTTTAAGTTTCATGTCTCCTCACTTACATTTTCTCTTGAGCGAAAGTACTTGTAAACAATAAATAGTGGTAATTGAGTAAATAATATTTCGAGATATACTATTTTAAAAAATATTTTCTAAAATAATATTATTTATGTATAATCCTCAGTAGCATTTTTTTTTTCAAGGCATCTTTTACGTGTAAGAGCATTATTTCTTTTTTTTCATAATTTTTTAATTACTGAAATGAGTAATTTAAAAAATATAAATATTTAATTTACGAAATACAATATCAATATAAAAAAAGTTATCCTTTATAACACAATTTCACCTTAAAGTTGTACGAGAAAGTACGACTTGAACTTCTAATACGATTTTGACTGTTTTTTTTTATATATACATAATTATTATTTGTATTTATTATTATAATTAATAATAATAATAATAATTATTATTATTATTATTATTATTATTATAATATAAAAATAATATCATATGACTTTAAAAAGTGAAATCATTCATTTTTATTATTTAAATGTATAACTATCTTTTTAAATTACAAAATTGATAAAGTACGATATCATAGTTTTACGTGAAGAGTATACTACGCCAGTTATAAATAAAACGATTATAATATGTTATACACGACAATAATTGAATGAATCATTGTTATTTTATTTATTTTATTTTTGCGTTTTTTTTCTCTTCTCCTCTTCCGTTCCAAACTTGTAACTTTTTCTCTACTTCTTTTATATATCGTGATTAAATTTTTTTTTCTTCTCCTGCTTTTTTTTTTTTTTTTCATAAAATGTTTCTTTCCACGGTAAATATCTCCATCACATATGTCTCTAACAACCTTAAAGTTATCACAAGAAAAAATAATAATAAAATAGTAGAACATAATAAAATTAAGTTAAAAAAAAATAATAAAGAAATAAATAAAAGAGTAATGAAAACTTTCGGTTAGGAAGAAGTAACAATTAGAAAGTGACATTGTCTCGATAAATTTTAGATTTATTATGACAATTCTAAATTTGTTGTAACAGAATAAAATAAGGTTTTTTAACCTATAACAATAATTATAAATATAATCATCATAAAGATAATTTACGATTATAATTCAAAATTATTATTAATTTTTAATTATCCTTTATAATATCATCCGTAATACGATTATAATTCAAAATCATTATTAATTTTTAATTATCCTTAAAATACTATGATTCAAAATAATTTTTTTTATTCTGGTAAAAATATTTATTTTTAGTAGTGATATTTCAATATTTTTAAAAAAATTATATTAAGAGTACTTCATGCCTCTTTTATTTGTCAGGTATTGTAGCATTTTTTTCTCATTTCATGTTATATTTTGCTTTGATTTTATTTTTTCATTGTCCTTTTATTTTTACAAGGTGTGATTTTTTTTCAAAATCTGTTGAATAATCAATTAATTATTTAACCATAATCGATTAATCATGATACCTATACATAATTAATTTTTAAATACATAATATATCATATTTATTATTAAAAATAATTTATTTAATTGTATATTCATCTTTTTCTTATATATCTATATATAATGTTTAATTTAACTAATTTTATTATAATTTATATTTTATTTTACATAAAATTTATTTAACTTTCGATAAAAAATATTCATTATCAATTTAGATAACAAATTTCATTTAAATATATTTTATTTGTTCAATAAAGTTATATCATAAAATATTTTGATATAAAAATTAGTTTTATTTTTAAATAATTATTTAATTTTAATTTATATTTATTCTTATTCAAACTTATAATAAGGATATTTTAGTCATTTATAATTTACTTAATTATCTATTTTGTTTAAAACAATCAAATAAATTTTATCATCTATAATATTTTTACTTGGCAATGTTGTTAGCTTTTACTGTTCTTCTAAATTGCATTCAACCAGTCCTTTCAGGTAAGTAACAGACCTTTTGATATAAGCACTGAACTCGAATTTCACTTGGACATTATTGCTTTTGCTGGTATCTGTTGGTCTTCAGGGGTGGCGGTAGGGTCTGGTCGTCAAGCAGCAGTTACTACTTGGTTGGAATACCTCTTGGGGTTCTCTTAGGCAGATTGCTTCCTTCGGGTTGTAAGTGTATCTATATCCTATACTGCTGCAGACACAACTTAAATATTCCAATCCACTCGTACATAAGTTAGAATATAATGGTCCTGATAAACTTTTTATATAATGATGATAAAACAAAATAAGATGATAATATGAATTGAGGATATTTTTGTAAACTAAAATCATTTTAGGTTTAAATAAAGTTACACGTTACTCTCCTCATCTTTTGGTTCACGTTGCACGCAAAATCTTCCTAACTTGCTAAATCAATATTTGCTGCGTCTTCTATGCTATATACAGAGCATTTCCTGAGTGGCAATATCCACACAAAAATATACATTCTCTTGTAGTAGAAAATTGTCGCTTTCTTTAGAAAAAAATATTCTGGTAATTTTATAAATTATTGATGTTCATAAGGTTCGGATATCTCAATTCATCTTACAAAATAATTGTTATATTTTGGGAAAGAGGATTAAGTTGTTATGTCATAAGAATGTTTTCTCTATTTCCTTTATGAGAGTTTTCTTTGTTTTCTCTATAAGAATAGTTGCGTGTCTCGATTATTCATTTATTTCTAGTTTCTTCCTGATAGTTTTCATACCGTGTTAATAGTTTGACAATCTCTGTCTATTATTTATATTTTTTCCTTTTCTAACACAAAAATAGTGGAACAAATTTTAGGACGAAGGAAACTTATTTTTCTTCTAGTTATCCTAAAAAAATATCCACATGATTTGTATAGCACCATACACTTTTCATATATAAAGTTGGCAACTGATGGGCTTTCCTCCATTGTCCAACGCGCCGTTACCGGTGTTGTTCTGAAAGACAACCTTCAAGTCGTCGCAAAGTGCTAGAACCAACGCGCTTCTCGTGGACATTGTGCTAGACTTGAACGCCACCATGGAAGTAATCCTCAGAACGAACGTGATGGAGCCACTCTCTTTCTCCTTCGCCATGTTATCCAAGTCCCAACTCGGAAATAAGAACCCATTCGACGACGGCTTCACATCGAATCTCTTAACCTCGTTCTTGTCCATCGCAAAATCGGATACGTAACTCACCGCTATCATGTCGTCTTTGTGCAACAAATCCACCTTTAAGTCGGAGAAAAAACCGTTGAGCTTGTCGTTGATGTTTTGAATGGAGAAGGTAGTGTTCCAATCCGCGGTTAGCGTTGTGGAGATGTTGAAATTGGTTACAGAGAGGGAATTAACGGTGTAAACGGGTAGATGGGGATGCAACAGTAGCGCTAGGACAAGGGTGGCGAAGAAGAGGCCCGTGAATATTAGACAGGAACACAATATGAATCCACGAACAAAGGCTCTGGCTCCACCATCATTGTGATAGGTGGGTGGATTGCTGAAGTAGGGCCCTGCGGGATAATGGTATGCCTGTTGTGGAGGGTAGTCATTAGGGTATGGGGCATAGCCTGGAGGGTAACCCTGGTGTGGAGGAGGGGCATGGACTCCCGGTGGGTACCCCATTCCTGGTGAGTAATACATCGTGTTTGGCGGTGCCGCCATCGGTGGTGGACCATCATCATACATGTGGGAAGAAGACCCTTTGGAGAATGATTCTTTTTGAGATCCTTTTCCATCATGAGATGGATCCATCATGATATTGCTTCTCTGGTTCTCCCTCCCAATGCTGATTTTGAGAGAGAGAGAGAAGAAGAGACAGGACCAGAATGTGGTGGTGTTCTTTTAAGATAAAAGCTAGGAAAGAAGGACAAATATAGATCCACAAGAATGCGTGAAGATCGTGTGAGGTGTTTGTTTCTTATTCCATATTCTATGTGAGTTATATTATTATGAAGATATGTTGAATGTATAATTAACAAGGATTCATCTCTTACATTCTAATTTCGTAAATCTCACTTTTGTGGAGGTTGTTTGTCCATGAAATTAATTATCACGATTAGGGAATGACTAATGATGATTTGATCTTCACCATCTCTTTAACTTACGTAACTTCCTTATATCCTTTTGGAGTGTTTCTTTAAGATAAAAGCTCACATGAAGACTGTGGTATTTGTTCTCTGCCTAATGCAATTCCAATTTTTTCTTATTATGTTTACTTTTAGATGGTAACAAATATATTTTTATCTTTTATTTATAAAAATTTTGTGATAACTCCTATTTTCAAAAACGAGAAATTAAAAATAAATTATTTTATTAAGAGTATCGATCATACGTGACATGTTTTTAAAACAGAAACTTACGAAGAGATTATATATTTTTGGACTAAAACCAATAATTTCTGTATACAGCTCAATTAAAAATATATATAACTCTACTATATATATTTATTGTTGTTAGATATTGTTTATATATTATTTGATATTGTTAAGATATTGTTAGATATTGGTAACCACAATATCAAACAATATCTTCTGTTTATTCTGTTACTTTCAGTTACTCTTTTAGTTGTATTTCTCTACTATAAATAGACCACCCTATGTGTGATTTATACACAAGGGAAATTAATTCCAAACTATATTTTCTTTATATTCAACATGGTATCTAGAGCTTAAGGTTATCTTGAATTTTTTTTCCGCCTTTTGTCCACTGTTGGAGCCGCCCCACCGCTGCTAGAGCCGCCCCACCGCTGCTGGTAAACTGATCCTCCACATCAGAAAAGAATTATCTTTGTCATTGAATTTTATTTGGTAGTGTGAAAGTGCATGTTTAGGAAAGTTCTGGCAAGGAAAGACTTGGTATTTAAGTGTGTCCATTAGTGACCCACCTCTCTTTCCTGGGAACTTACCTAGTGTACTAGTTCACGTTACTGTCACCGCTGCCGCTGGAGCAGTCACTGGGTCTTTTAACCTGTTGTCCATCAGTCGTCTAACTCGTTCTCTTGATTGTGTTGTTACTTTTACCAACAATTCTGTGTGTTTACAGGACCGGAGTTCGAAACAGGTGATTGGCACAGGATGTGAGTCTCATGGTCTTTATTATCTCCGTCCCTCTACACATGTTAGTACAGTTATGGAGTCTCCCTCTCTTCTTCATGCTCAGTTAGGTCATCCAAGCCTTGTCAAGTTACAGAAACTTGTCCCTGCCTTGTCTAACTTATCTAGTTTGGCGTGTGAGTCATGTCAATTAGGCAAGCATAGTCGTACTTCCTTTCCTCGTAGTTTCACACGTGGTGCTTCGTCCCCTTTTGCCGTGGTTCACTCGACATTTGGGGACCTAGCCGCGTTAAGTCTACTTTAGGTTTTCAATACTTTGTTACTTTCATTGATGATTATTCCGGATGCACTTGGTTATTTTTGATGAAAAATCGTTCTGAATTATTTCATATCTTTCAAACTTTTTTTAATGAAATTCAAACTCGGTTCGGTGTTTCTATTAGAGTTTTGCGTAGTGATAATGGCCGTGAATATCTTTCTCATTCTTTTAAACAATTCATGGCTTCTCACGGTATTTTGCATCAAACTTCTTGTGCTTATACACCTCAACAAAATGGTGTAGGCTGAACGTAAAAATAGACATCTTATTGAAACAACTCGCACACTTTTAATTCATGGAGATGTTCCTCAACATTTTTGGGGTGATGCTCTTCTTACTCGCATGTTATCTCATTAATCGCATGCCTTCTTCGGTTTTAGATAATAAAATACCTCATTCCATTTTATTCCCTCATGAACCACTTCATCCTTTACCTCCGAAAGTTTTCGAGTCTACATGTTTTGTTCATAATTTCAATTCGGTCCGGACAAGCTTTCTCCTAGATCACATAAATGTGTTTTCTTAGGGTTTACAAGATCACAAAAAGGATACAAATGTTTTTCTCCTTCTCTTAACCGTTATTTTGTGTCAAAAGATGTCACCTTTGATGAGTTGTCTCTTTATTTTAAAAGTCAAACTTCACCTCTGTCTCCATCCAATCTTGTCAACACTCCTAATACATTTAATGTTCCTGTTGTTTGTGACCCTCTAATTGTGTCTTCTTCACCATTAGTTTCCGCTCCGCAGTTAGCTTCTTCTCCACTCGCCTCTTCGATTTATAGTTCTCGAAACCAATCACAACCACCACCATGTGACTCTACTCAAGTGCCAACTACTCTGTCTCCTCCGGATCCGACACATGAGTCCGACCTTCCCATTGCCCTCCGAAAAGGTATTCGTTCTACACGTAATCCCTCTCCCCATTATATTGCTTTGAGTTATCATCGATTGTCATTACCTTTTTATACATGTCTTTCCTCTATTTCTTCCGTGACCATTCCAAAAGCGTCACGTGAAGCTTTAGCCCATCCTGGTTGGCGTCAGGCCATGTTAGATGAACTAAGTGCTCTTCATAATAGTGGAACTTGGGAATTGGTCCCGTTACCGTCTGGGAAATCTGTTGTTGGTTGCAGGTGGGTGTTTGCTATCAAAGTTGGACCTGATGGTACTATTGATCGTCTCAAAGCTCGTCTTGTGGCCAAAGGTTATACTCAAATTTTTGGGTTGGATTATGGAGATACCTTTTCCCCTGTGGCAAAGATGGCTTACGTTCGTTTATTTATCGCCATGGTCTGCTCTTCAACAATGGCCTCTTTATCAACTCGGATGTTAAAAATGCTTTCCTCAATGGTGATTTGCAAGAAGAAATATATATGGAGCAACCTCCTGGGTTTGTTGCTCAGGGGAGTCTTCCGGGATGGTATGTCGTCTTCGCAAATCCCTATATGGCCTAAAACAGTCTCCTAGGGCTTGGTTTGGAAAGTTTAGCAAGGTTGTTCAACAATTTGGTATGACTCGGTGTGAATCGGATCATTCTCGTCTTTTATCGACACTCGAGTGCTTGGATGTGTTTACTTGATAGTATATGTTGATGATATTGTTCTTACAGGTAGTGACAACCATGGCATCTCTCGGTTGAAACAACATCTTTGTCACCATTTTCGAGACCAAAGATCTTGGCAAACTTAGATATTTCTTGGGTATTGAGGTAGCACAGTCCAATGATGGTATTGTTATATCTCGGAGGAAGTATGCCATAGATATTTTGGAAGAAACTGGGTTGATGAGTTCAAAGTCTCGTTGATACACCCATGGATCCCAATACTAAACTTCTACCAAATCGGGGGAGCCTATATCTGATCCTGAGCAGTATAGAAGATTGGTTGGAAAATTGAATTATCTTACGGTTACTCGTCCCGACATTTCCTTTGCGATCGAGTGTGGTAAGTCAATTTCTTAATTCACCATGTGAAGATCATTGGAATGCGAGTCATTCGTATCTTGAAGTATATTAAAGGATCTCCTGGAAAAGGATTGTTATATGCTTCTAATAACCATACAAGAGTTGTTTGCTACTCGAGATGCTTGATTAGGCGGGATCTCCTTCGGATAGAAGATCTACATCCGGATATTGTGTCTCCATTGGTGGTAACTTGATTTCATGGAAAAGTAAGAAACAAAGTGTTGTGGCAAGATCCAGGTGCGAAGCAGAATATAGAGCTATGGCCTCGACTTCCTGTGAACTTGTTTGGCTCAAGCAATTGCTTAGAGAGTTACAATTTGGAGATGTCACTCAAATGACACTTGTGTGTGACAATCAGGTCGCTTCTTCATATTAGTTCTAATCCTGTCTTTCATGAGAGGACCAAACACATTGAGATTGACTTGTCATTTTATTCGAGAAAAGATTATGTCCGGAGATATCAAGACTGAGTTTGTTAACTCAAGTGATCAGTTAGCAGATATTTTTACTAAATCTTTACGGGGTCCTAGAATTGATTATATTTGTAACAAGCTTGGCACATACGATTTGTATGCTCCAACTTGAGGGGAGTGTTAGATATTGTTTATATATTATTTGATATTGTTAAGATATTGTTAGATATTGGTAACCACAATATCAAACAATATCTTCTGTTTATTCTGTTACTTTCAGCTACTCTTTTAGTTGTATTTCTCTACTATAAATAGACCACCCTATGTGTGATTTATACACAAGGGAAATTAATTCCAAACTATATTTTCTTTATATTCAACAATTGTAAAGTAAAAAGTTTATAATAATTTTTAATGTACATATATATATATATATATATATATATATATATATATATAAATTATTCATTAATATAATTATATATAATATTTATATATAATTAATGTTTTTAAAATAAGATAAATGATTGAAGATAAAAATATAAATTTAGGATTTAAAAATTAAATTGAGTTATTTAATAAAATAATATTTTATAATATAAAAAAATATAATAGATTTATTAGTAATCATTTTTTTATACAAAAAAGTTTTTTATATACAAAATAAAGATTATATGATTATAATAAATATTATAAAAATAAAATATATTAGATAATATAAGAATAATTATTAAAATATAATTAAATAACTATTATTAAAAATTGATATAAATAATATAAAATAAAATAAAAAATAAAAAATATTATATTATATTATATTTTTTATAAAATAATTATATTAAAAAAATAATCTTTATTTTTTTATTAAAATTGATTTCACTAAAAAATTTAATTAATTTTTTCAATTTTATCCATTTTTTTATTTTATTCAAATTTAATTATATTTAAAACAACGTGTTAGAATAATTCCTACTTAAATCATTCAACTACGATTTTCAGTGCATGCGATCGATTATTTTTTTACTAGAAATATTATAAAACATCAATAGATTAATAGGTTTTTTACGGGTAAGATGCTTTTCAGTTTGAATCAATTTTATAAATAATACAATTAAAAAAAATTACTTAAATAGAATTTCTTTAAACTCAATGTAAAAATAAATTCATCTTATATAATATATTTATTTTTCTTTCCTTTCTTTTTATTGTCTTATTTTTCACTTTTCATTTATTTTTTGTTAATTTTTTTTATTTAGTATTTATCTTCCTTTTTATTTTCTTTTTTAAATATTATAAGACAAAATTTAGATATTACAAATATTATTATTATATTATAATTATTAAGAAAAAATTAAATATTTATTTAGAAATATTTTTTAACAAATATTTTTTAAAAATTAATTAATTTAACTAATTATCATAACTCAATTTAATTAAAACTATATTAAATTATCAAGTAAAAAATATATTTAACTCATAAATATTTAATATTTTTTAATTAGATGAGTAATTATTATTATGATAAAATAATTTTAAATTAATTATTTATGTGATAATAAATAAATTTATGTATTATCAAAATTAGTTATTGTAATTATAATTTTAAATAATTAGTTAATATTTATTTTTATATATTTTTATTAAATTTTAATAGAAAGGTTTAATTAAAAGAAAATGGAAAAGAAAAGAGAGAAATAAAATACCTATATTAAAAAAGAGAAAAATAAGGATTGAACGAAAAAAAGAGAAAAAATAAAATTACAAGAAGAAAAAAACTACATAAACAGAAATAATTGAGTAAATAAATTAATAAAAATTCTATTTGAATAACTTTTTTTTTAATATATATTGTTCATATAAGATTCATTCCCTTCCTTTCTCTCGTCCCCCTGTTATTAAGTATAATAGCAATTTTTTTTTTTCATTTCAAAATTTTGCACGCACCTTTTAACTAAGAAAATATCTCTCCTTATTTTTTTTTCTTTTTTATCGATCCGCTTATATATTTTGTCTTTCTTGCAATCTACTCAAATTACAAGACTAAAATAAAAAATTGTGTAATTATCGATACTTAATATTTAATTGCTCTTCCATTTTATCTAGTTCATCACATCACTTTTTATATTTATTATTATTCTTTATTTTTTTAATTTCTATCTTATTGCATCCCAAATTCACTTCAAAACGGGGGTGAAGGTTTATATTTTTCCAATAACTATGGCCAGCATTAAACAGAGAATAAAAGTGTAAAAATTGAAGGTTGTATATATGATTAGGAAAATGTTATTTTGACATCACTGTTATTATAAACATCCAATATACAATTTATTATAATATTATAATAATAATTTTAAATTATTTTTATTTTTATTAAATTATTTTTATTTTTATTAAATTATTTTTTCATTATTATATTAATAAATGTGAATTGTACGAGGAGACGTTTGTGTTCCCAGGGTCAAAGTATCACTTCTATATGATTTACTAGCATTTAGCCAGATTAATTAGCTACATAAATTTGGTACTCACGATCTGAAGTAATTGTTTTGAAGCACTCAACTTGTACAAAACCTTATACATCAGGGCGAACCTACATACCTAGCTAGTAGATCATAGCAAAAACTCGAGGAAGAAATTGCTCCAATGAAATCAAAAGAAAGAGAAAGGCTTCCACTTGATAGGAATGGTGAAGTTCCTATTAGGGTTAGCCAACCTTCCTGAATCATTATCACGAAGAAACGTAACCGTTAAGTCTTCACAATGAGGACTCATCACCACATCCGAGACCCATGTTTCCCCGTAGTAAATCGCCTCCACCCTCACTCGCATTCCAAAGCTGATAGACCCATCTTTCACCTTATCCTTTCCCATCTCCTCCGCCAACCAATTCTCCACGAAGGTTTCATTATTCTCCCCTCCAGTTGTGAACTTCAAATGCAACTTCACATACTGCCCCTTTTCCAAGTAAAAGGGTTTCGAAGAGGCCACCGAAAGAGCATGTTCTGGGTTCTTTTTATAGAATATTGTGAAATCAAGAATGCGGAAGTAGATGGTCGAAACGTTGGTGTTTGTGACCCTAAACTTGGCATCCCACGCGGCAGCGAGCCCTCCACTCCCTGTGGTGAAGTTGGAAAGGTACATCGAATTGAGAACCAAAACTGGGGGAATAGGATCTTCCTTTGGCGTCCCCAAACGCTTGTATACGGGTAACAATATTAGCATCATCAACAAAGTGAGGCCTAGCAAGTCTTGAATCATTTCGCAGGCACGTTCGCTGATGCTGAATATTTCCTGGGTATAACAATATTCGGACATGCCTGAACCTGACCTGTTGCCAATTGATTCGACGGAAACTGATAAGTGTTCATGGTTTCCTCGATCAGTTTCGGTTTCTGATCGGGGCAGAGGGGAAAACCTGAAAACATGGCCTCTCTCGTTTTGAGGTTCAACGTTAGTTATCGAGGAGGCCATGATGGGTCTTCCTACAGATGAAGAAGCGCGAGGTATGGAGGGAAGGGAATGGGTGGGTGGAGAAGAGACGTGTGAGAGGGTTATATGCCATTGCAGGTTGTGGAAAACGCCCAAACAAACACAAAATTCGTTGGTGATCTTTGCATGGAAAAAGAGGGTGGTGTTGAATTTTCTCCTTATCAAATATAGATTATAAAAGGTAGGGAAATTTTCCTTACCTATTGTCACATAAAACTAAAAAAAAAATGTTATAAAAATAGCATAACCCATCATTTCATTAAAATCTAGTAAACGAAATAAAATTAGTCTTTGTTAATTTAATAATTAAAGGTTGATATTTGTTTATATTGTATTCTTAAGGTGTTTTGGGTTGCTCTGGGGGAAAATAACTTCAGAAACAAAATACTAACAATTGTATTATATATGGAATCTATTGTTAGGAAAGTAGAGTGAGTATCTAACTCCTTTATCCAACGTTTGGTATCAAGTAATTAAACTGGATGAAGAAAGAATAATCCAAGTAAGAAAATATTGGTAATTTGAAACATGAGAAATGAAAGGAAACATGTTAAAAAACCATGAGATCCACGTGAAATAAGTTCTGCATTATGCAAAGAAAAATGAAGAAAAATATATTTTCTCGTTGTTATAGATTATGAATTTAAAGTGATATCACTGACCTACTTCTCTTTACATCTCTTGCCCCCTACCTACCTCTACCAATTCCATTTTCTTTTAGAGTATTAAACATATAATAAGATTATTATTAATAATGTTAAATAGATAATAATAAACAGTATTAGTATTAATAAAATAACAATAATTGTTATAAATATGAATATATAATCAATAATAAATATTCATTTTATTTTAAATTAAATTAATTTAAAAGTTTAAAAATCTTTCTATTTCTCTTCAAACTATTTTTATTTTCATCATATTTTCCTTTTTATTTTTCACTCTTTTCTTTTTCTTCAAAATCTTCCTCGTTACTAAACACTACCTTAACGTTACTTAAATATTTTTTATTTCAAAAAGATATTATAACGATTAAAGTTTTTAAACTAATTAAAGTGCCACAATGCTAATTATATAACCAAAATAGTTTGGTTCACTCTTAGCATGTGCTAATTATACTTTTTTTTCTCAAATAATGGAATAGAAGATTAGTCTATATTTTCTTTTATTGTATTTATTGTAAGCATTTTATTTTTATATTTTTAACGATTAATGACCATAGTTTTTTTCCTTAATCATACTTATTACTAATTTAAAATAACTTGTATCAACTATAGTTTCTTACTATTCATTTATATTTTTACCAGTTGTGGAGACCAAGGAATTCAAATCCATGTAGTCTAGGATGTGAATTGATATGACCAAACGCATTTTTTTTAACCTAACAACTAATTGGAAGTGTTTGACTATATGAGAAAGAAATAATTAACGAGTAATTAAAAGAAAGTAGTAATTATGAAGAAATGTGTCCAATTAATTAAAGAATACATGAGGAGCTATGCGTCTTCTATAGGCCCCCAGTGAATAAGACCTACACACTCTTTAGGCTTGTGATCAACCATTGTCATTGTCATACCCAGTTGATCTCCCTCTACAAACTTGACCTCCAAATTACTGCATTTAGGGGACATAGTAAAAGTTTCGACCCACCCATCACCGAACCCTGCCTCTCCTGTTACCATCATATGTAAACTAAACCTCATGAATCCTCGTTGCAAATCTTGGGCAATAGCCTGAACCACAGTGTCATCCACGATGGGTTGGTTCTCCTCCCACCCCGTCGTATTCAACTGCAAATGCACCTTTTTGCTCTCTTCCTTATCCAAAAAGAAAAGTTCCCTGGGTAACATATATTGGGGCAGAATAGGAGTGATCACGGCGAGCGATTCATTTTCCTCGTAATTTATCTTCGCTTCCAGCTTTAAGATGTTAATGTCGGAGTAGTTCATGACGTTGGAAATGGTTAGGGCAATGTCCCACGTGGATGACACCTCGCCGTCGGAGACTTTAATGTGAGGAACGTGAAACGAGTCGAGGAAGAACTTGGGTGGGATGGGATCAAATTTTGGTTCGTGTAATTTCGTTTGGTAAAGGGCAAATCCAATGAGCAACATTCCAACAATGGCCAAGCGTAGCAAAATCACAAGAGCCTCCCAATCGAAACTTTCTTCGGATGGCTCTATTACCATGCGACGATCATTGATCTCAATTTGATTTTCCTCAATGTCTTGGGCCAGAGGCGAGAATTGGGTCCTTGATTCAACTGGAGCTGTTGCAGAAGACATTGTTCGATTTTGATAAACTCAAATTTAAATTGGTGAAAAGTAGGGATCAATGATGATGATGGTGATGAGTGGAATTAAATGTGTCGCTATTAAATATATGAGACTTAAAATCCTAATCAGTTGATGTCGTCGTGTTACAACTACAATACGTCCCAAAAAGGTTAATTTTGGTGCACGAGGTTGCTGGGACTGGTAGATATGTTAATCGCAATGATAATGCATTTTGTAACTGATTTTTTGTTGCATGTTATCATTTGTTGTAGGTGTATATGACATTTTTGTTCTATTATAATCTCTTATATCAAAAGCATGACTAGTTAGTGGTTATTATGTAATTATTTCCAAAATAGTTAGGTGGCTTAAATACTTTGTTAATCCTTTGGATATTGAACTTAACATTTACTAATTATTTGTAAGTTGAAGACCATTTTTGTGACATTAAAGAGAAAAAGAGCATTTATTGGCATCTCGCGTCTTCAAAAAGGAATGTTTAAAAATCTATAATAATTAAATTTTAAAATGTAACAGAATTATAAAATAAAATCGTAATCTTAAATATTATAAAATTATTTTCAATTTAAAGAATTGGACCCTAAAGCAAATGATTTTTTTCATTCTAGTTATAAAGATGGCCCAATCCAGTAAATTCAGGCCTTAACTAATGAAAACTGGTGGTTGAAACAGGCTTCTGTACAAAACCTATTTATAGAGAGGGCACTCACAAGTGAAGGTGAGTACAATTCATTTTTATTTAATATAAAATTATAAATTAAATATAATGAAAAAAATTTAAGTAATTTAAGATATAAATTATGTTACTATTTTACAGAATTTTTTTTTAATTTGATAAAACATAAATTTTTAAATCATTTTAAAATAATTTTAATTTTAATTTTTACCAAATGTGAACCGCACCATTAAACTTACTGAATATTAACATTTTTTACAATTGATAATTAGGGGTATAGACCGATGAAATTGGGTTTGATCATAATTTGACAAATTCATCATTTCAATTTTGTTAGTTTGATCATTATTTTAAATGTAAGTAAATAGTTAAGTCACAACCAGCACTAAATATAAAAACTATACCACCGTACAAACGTTACATGTTTATTTTCACTTAAACTACTTTTTAGGATATAAGTTAAGCGTGCTTGAACATAACCAAACATGCTATGTGTGTTTGGTTTGCAGATACAAAACCTGCAAACAGTCAACAGAGAAAAAGATACAATTTCTTGCTCCCTAGTTTGGTACTTGGAAAGCGTTAACTCCACTTTGAAGTTTCAAATACACCTTTAAATGTCTCAATCACGGTAGTCTTCAATGGATGTTCTCCAAAACATGCTACAACCCAGATGACAAAAGCCTTACAGCAACAAAACAAGATGAGTTTAGACTCATAGCTTATATGGGCTAAAAAAGGTTAGACTTCACAGGAATAATAGCTTACGTTTGCCATTAACAATCAAGAGAGGTAATCACTAATCAACTGTTTCGTTGGCTTTAATACGCCAAGAATGACTCATTGCCAGTGTAACTAGTTGCTAATGCCTTTCCAGCGGAGGTTGGCTGCGAGAATGCTAACTGAGAACGTTCAAGCTCAAGACCCGGGCAGAAACTCTTCCTGTAACCAGTTTAACAGAAAATTCAAATCACTAAGCTAGCAACTGGATGAAGAGTAACTAAGTGTACGTTTATATAAGGGTTTAAAAATTTAATTGAGATAAAATTATTTGTTTGGATGTTTTCATTCTAAAAGTATATTTGATACAAGACTTAAATGTATTTTTTTTAACCCAACGCAAAAACTATTCTTTTATCTCTTCTTGTCAAATTAGACAAGAACTAAACACTTACAAATTCACTAAAATCATGTTTTCTAACACTCGTTCAATGCAGTTAGTATTAAAACTTTCAGATAAATTATATTTCTTATAACGTGGCTTTCATTACATAATTCATCACAATTAGGCTAATTTTAATCTCCCAATCTAAAAATGCACCGGGGGATTAAAGTTATATAACATAATTTGAAGTTTCCATAACGAACAAATGACGAAATGGAGTTCACTTGCCTGTGAGAATTCAATTAAAGCCAAATTTAATTTAGTTTAATATACCTTACTGCATCTAGCAACTGAATTGCAATGCCTTTTCTTCTGTTGGAGGGAGTAACCCAAATGGCCCTAATGCCACAAGCAGCAGCGGTTGGTTCGCTATCACAGAAGATTGCTCCTTCCATCTTTTCAGAATCACTCACGTTAGCAACTTTTCTTTCAACCTCCCTTTGGAAAATAACATTCCCAAACTGAAGAGTGGTAGATCGTGTCTTCACTCCCCTTTTCTTCGCGCTATGAATAATAGGTTTAGCAACAGAGCCAGACACCACTTTGAATGCCTTTTCAATTGGTTCTGCAACGAGGCACCCAGAAACCCTATTAAGAGAAACAAACAGATACACCTTACAGCGGTCCTGAAGTATCCACCCACTTCCAAGCTCAATTTCCATCATCCTCACCACCTCTTCAACTTTCTTCCTGTGAGAAGACGGGTCGGTCCCCGAAAACAAAACGATCCGACCCGAATCCACGCTGGGTAGAGGAACAACATTTTCTTTGGCCCAACCCTGCAAACTAACAGAAATAGGAATGAAGATCAATTTGGGAATAAAGAAATGCGAAAAGAAAGAGTGTAGGCGGAGAGGTTACTCTGAATTGGATTCCCTGCGTGTATGATTTGTGAAACTCGTTGTGGGATTTCTCGTCTTGTGGATCACCGGGAGTGAACTTTACGCCGCATGTGGGACACGCGCGTAGGAGGAAGTCGGATTGACCGAAATCGAGGTGGAATTGGGCGTAGTTTCTCTTCTTGTTTTTGACGAGCGTTACGGGTTTGGGATCCGAAGGAACGGCGATAGGATTTGGACGCCTTCGGGTGTAGGTGTTGATGATGTGGTGTTGCTGGTTCTCCCAGATGGATAAATCGTCATCATTGTTGGGAGAAGAGGAAGCGGGGGTAGATTTGAAGAAAGTGCTGATCTTGGACTGCATCTGCGATTCAATGATGGATGTTTCGTTGTTGCTTTTGCACCCATGTTAAGGTTGGTCATTTTCATTTGCCGCCAAAACTTCTCGTTTTGTTTTTGAAGTTTCCCGCTCATTATCTCTTTCGAACAACTCATTGTGGCGCGGAAGCTCCAAATCCCAATTAATTCATAGATTACGCTGGTTAATGATTTTCATAAATATATAAACATTTACTTATTATTGTCTTTATATATCCCATATGTATAAAATGGAGTTTACTGTATATAGTAATAAAATGTACAATTCACCCAAATACAAAAAAAAAAAAAAGATCCACTATATGACAAAACAGAACTTTTATTTTTATTTTTTATGAAATCTATAAAAAGAATAGCGTAATTAGCTCTGGTTATGCTACTCCAATATCTTCTTACAAGGGGACATTAGAAAATTTTATTATTATATTCCCCACACAAAAAGTTAGAAGAAAATGCAAAGCAGAAACGGTTTCTAACTTTCAAGGTAGCAACGTAACTGAATAAATAAAAAGTCTATTAACATGAAAACATTTAATAAATAATAAAGAATAATGAAAGCAAGTGGTATTGGAAGGCCGTTACTGTTTGATGGGCCGTGTGTTTATAAGGGGGTACTGGTGGCTGAAGGCCCAATCCGAGTTGTACGAAAGTACTCACTGAGACGAAACTGACTTTGTTTGTGGGCGTGCCAAATGCAAATGCAAATGCAACAAACGCAGCAGCAGGCCACGACGGCACCAATCTCAATCTCCACTCCTCCTCCCTCCTCCGGTGGCTCCGCTTCCGAGGCACCGCCGAAGCAGGTTGCTCAAGCAATGGACAAACTCGGACAGGCTGAAAGAATCATCGCCGATATCCGAATCGGCGCCGACCGCCTCCTGGAAGCGCTCTTCGTCGCGGCAGCGCAGCCTCACCAAGGCAACAAGCCTCTCCAAGTGTTCCTCAAGGAAGATGCCTGCATGCGTCAGTATCTTCAAGACCTTAAATCGCTTGGTAAGCGTGCGGTTCCAGTCGTTCCCCTTCAATTCCTGGTTCCGCGGATTAGGGTTTTTGGTTTGCACTCTGCAACGTTGTTTTAATGATTAGTGCTGCTTTCTTTTGTAGGTAAGGAGTTGGAAGAGTCTGGAGTTCTCAGTGAATCACTTAGGTCGAGGAAAGATTTTTGGGGCTTGCATATGCCGCTTGTTTGTCCAGATGGCGCTGTGGTTGCATATGCGTGGAAACGACAGCTTGCAGGTCAAGCTGGCGCTTCTGCCGTTGACAGAACCAGGTTCGTTTCCGTTAAATCTGTTCTGTTTTAGTTCTGTATGCCATTTGAAAATCTGTGTTAGTTCATTTGGATAAGGAAATAGGATGGAAAATAATGGATTCAAATTCAAACGTCTTTTATTTTATTTGAAAGTCGTGAGTCAAAGATAGGAAGAATAGCGGAAGGGAATTATGGTATCTGGTATTCTTAGACCGGTGATTTTTTTTTTTTTTTTCTGATGATTTTTGTGCATACATAACTGGATATCTTAATCGTCAAGTTTTGCTATCACATCCTGCATACATATAGAGCACAATAGTTATGATACTTCCAAGTTTCACGTATCAAACCAATGAGACATCAATATTTTTATTCCTTTCACGGATAATACTTTTGAATACGTCACCGATGTGTATTGACTAAATGTACAAGCTTTTAAATCTATAAAAGTTCAAGAAACATATAAGTATGTGTAATATAGAAACATATAAGTATGTGTAATATAGAAACATATAAATATTAATCTTCGTAAACCGAAGATGAAAATGGTTGTTTATGAATTATTTTAAAAAAGTAATGAGATTGATAATGCTATTTCTATACCTAAATAATATAAAGTATTTTATAATGACAATGATTTATATTTTTTATTTCCACAATGTCTAGAAATTGTGATTTGAAATTTGGATTTCCATGATTCTAGTTTTATATTTATTCTGTTTTATGAATTCTTGTACATATTTAAATATGTATCTTAAACTTATCATGTCCTGTTTTTTCTACTTGTACATGTATCGAATTCATGCATCCTAGGTAATAATGCGTTATATGATCCTTATGCTATGAGGTAACTGCCTCATTCTTAAGTTGTGCAGAGATGGTAGTCAGATATTATGAGTAGATTAGTTTGTTTATCGTAGACAGTTAGACACATAACCAGGACTGTTAACAATGGCAATATTTTTGCTCACTTCTCAGTTGACTTTCATGAAGTTTGCCTCCAAGTTTTTCTGGTCTAAAATTGATTTTAATTTATCTATCCTTGCCAACAATATTTTGCACGACATTTATTTGCTTCACTTTGTTCGATACAATTGGCAAAGCAGTGCTTGGCAGATTTCATTTTTTATTTTGTTTTTCATGGGTATTATTCTATATAATGCTCTTGCTTGCTGATCTCCTCCCATTTGATACTGCTGATTTGTGCTACTTTAGCTGTTCACTTAGGCTTTTGAATCATATCAGGTTAGCACTCAAAGCCTTCACTGATCAGAAAAGGCGTTTTTTCCCACATCTTGATGATGGACTTGAAACTGGTGACCCAGCTTCAAAGAAATGTTGTCGGTCTGACGAAATTACAGTGGATACCAAGGAAGAAATTAGATTTCTGAGGACGCTACCAGATGTTCTGAAGTCTGTGGAGAAGGATGTGCCAAGTCTGAAAATTTTAACTTTTGAACGATTGGACTGGTTAAAAAGAGCTTCCTCGCTTACCTCATCAACAAATGAGAGTTCTCTGGAACATAACTATCATGGTTCTAATAAGCTAAGGCTTGGATCTGTGGGAACTGTTGCTGAAGAAAAGATTGCTGTGATAGAAATGTTATTTCCATCTGTTTTCAGAGCTGTTATATCCTTGCATCCTGCTGGTTCCATGGATCCTGATGCTGTGGCTTTGTTTTCTCCATATGAGGTATACCTTCCAGTGTTATTGTGACATGAGAAATGTTTGAACACTCTACTGTTCCTGAAGTTTATTGGACGTTACGAATTTTGGCTGGTTCGGCTTCTCATTTAGTGACTCCTGATTAAGAAGTGGAACCTACCATAATATGTGATTTTCAGCCAATGATAGTTTCAGAAATAGTGTTTAAGAGAATGTTGCTAGCATTCCTCTTCTGACATATATCATAATTTAGAATTTTTCTGTTTCCTTACATTCATTATGGTGTGTGAACTGTTTGGTTATCAGCATGCTATGGACATCTTAGATGATGCCTTAACATCAGTTTTGTGATAGTTCCTTGTTAGTGATGTGATCTTCCCTTTCCCATCTCCTGAGTCCCTAGTTTCAGTATATCAATCTTCTATTCTATGCTGTCCAGTTCTTGTTTTGATCAGTTAAACCGACTGATATTGTTTGGTTTGAAAACATTGATGCAACAAATTGAAGAGTCCATACACTTAAGTGTTTTAAATCAAAGATTTATAAGCATAACCACCAATAACGGACAAAAAAATTCATAGTACGCTGCCAGGTAGATGGTTTTTTCTTTCAAAATGCCTATTTGATTAAAGCAAGCTTGGAAATAAGGGATAAATGGACTTAAATCAGGTACAATTAGTGCTGATCCTAGGGTTAAAGCATATTCTTTTATATTTGTACCCAAACCCCACTAGGTAGGAGGCTCATGCGCTGTGTCTAAAATTCCCTCGGCAATTAAGTTGTCTTTTGTATGGAGTCACTGTTTGATTGACATGGACCCCAAGTTAGGAAAACTTACGTTGGTTGGGTCCTACGAATCAAGTCGGTCATTTTTGCCTGTTGAGCATTGTTAGTTAATAGTAGGCCATATTAGTAATGTATAATTATTTAGCCTGCTATAGACAGGAATAAAATAAAGTAAAAGGGGTTAGTTAGTTGGTTTGTTACTTTTTGAGTGGAAAGACCGGGTTTGCAAATCACTGGTAGCTGTGTGTTGGGACACGGTTCTGAATCGTGTGATTATGGCAGTTCATGGCTGTTACAAAGGCGTTTACCCTTCTGATCTGTTGAGACAGATAGTGTTTCCGTGGTTCCTTATTTAGTTTAGGAAGATTTTCTACCTACTCGGTGTTTTGCACTTATTTATTTGCTCTCCAATATGACTTATTTTGACTATAAAAAATACCTATTTGTTATTTCTGAACAAATTTGCTTGATTTTTACATCTGAATATCCAAGAATTTTTTAGTGTCTTGATATCGCCTGTCAATGTATTTAATTGTGTACTTCTTGACAGAATGGAAGCTATGTGCATGCAAGGGGTTTTTCAGTTCATCACGTGTTTAGACATATTACGGTAGCAGTCTCTCTGTTGCTTTTCATTTAATTAATTAGTTACTCTTTGAGGTCTTTTTTATTATAGCTTATTTGTCTTGCACTGCAGGCGTATGCAGAGACAGCTCTGCAGTATTTTCTTGGGAACCAAACTGAAACGAGTCTGTATTGTCTTTTGGTACTGTAATTATCTCTTTCTAATCATGATGCATCTTTTAGAAGGTATTAATTCTTTTTATTTGAGGTTTTCTTAGCTGTCTTCCTTTTTTTGTTGCAGCACTGGATTTGTAGCTACCAGACTCTGTTTTCAAAATCATGCAGGTTCAATTTACACTTTATATAAATTAGGTTTCCCTGTCATTTGGGAAAATTACTAATATCAATTTTTTGATGGTGCAGCAAATGCTCACGGCTACTTGCAATGGATAAACAATCAACCTTACTGCTACCTCCAGTCCATCGACCTTATTGGCAGTTTTCCTTTTCAAAAATTTTGACAAACATATCCTCAAAGGACCAGAATTCGGATATTACTCTGGCGTATCATATTGGCTGCCTCTCTGAGGAAATATAACTGCATCTACCAATGATTCAGGTAAACCAAGTGCTCCCAGGAGCTAGAGTTTCCATTTCATTGTTGTGTGCATAGATTGGAAGACAGGAGTTGAAGTGAGTTGTTTATCTTGGGTCTACATCTTTCATCTCTTATATTGCATCTTCGGGAAATTGATGAGTATGGCTTATATAAGCCTCATAAAGATGGCCGCATCTATTCATTCGCCCAAGATATCACAGATCACGTTCATTGAGATTGTTCTTTGGACACCTGGAAGTTCTCACTGATCATTACTACAAGCAAAAGGTACAAGACGCGAACATTATGACCTGTGTTTGCAAGATGAAAGTGCCAGCAGATTTTAGTACGATGCTGACTGCGCAACCACCTCCATCCAAAAATAGTGAATAATTGTTGAGCTGCTGAGAATCTGTATGTTGAGCCACCTGTACATGGTCCTAAATGTAAGTGTTCTTATGTAGAGGATAATGTGTACCCATAGCAAAAGATTTCGAATTGGATAAGTCTTGTCATTGCAGGAGTTGAATCGGTTACAAGCATAGGTTATTAGACTGTGTGAATAAACTCGACTCGGAAACTAATATCAATTTAATAATAAATATAATAATATTAATTCTTTATTATTAAAATAATCAAAATAAAAACTTAATTGAATTTGTACAATAATATAATCAAAATTAAAAAAATAATTAAAAATTTTTTAAATGTCTAAAATTTCTCCATCTAAAATCTTAAATAATCTCTTAATCTAATATGTTGTATCTATTTAAAAACATTAAAATCACAAATTTCTTAATTCGTCAATCTAACCTAGAGGATGGTGTGCAACAGTGAACAACGACAAAGAACGTGATCATCGCACGATCTAAGTGAATGTTGTGCAACCATCGCATGATCCAGGTAAACATGCATGATTAAGCGAGCGTTGTGTCACTACTGGGCGACCAAGGACAAGGGTGGTGACGACCATGACGATGATAAGCAGTAACGAATAGTGGGGAGGAGCGAGATATGAAACTTGCAGCGACGGATAGTGGGAAGGAGCGAGATATGAAACTTATGAAAAAAAATGAGGAAAGTCAAAGAAGATTTAAGTTTTTTTTTTTTTTAACTCGGTGACTCATTTATGAGAGTTTACTTAGAGTCCACCGAGTTTGATTCAGAGTTTATTCAAAAAAGAGTTTACTCACGAATGAACTTGTATAAAATTATTTCACTCGTTAACTCTAAGAATTAGCGAGTTGACTCGATAGGTTATATGATCAGAGGGATAACGTTGCGTGCAAAGTATATAATGAGATAATTTGAAACATATTACTGAATATCGAATTAGGCTGTTTTTCTGTCGTAGAATGTCCTGGGACATTAGTTGGTGTTGTGATGGTTCAGTGTTACCTACCTTTTTTTAAATGAAGTGTATTTTATGTGGTATGTTGGGATACGGGAACTAGTGTCCTGAGGGTATTAAATAAAAAGTAGGCAATTTTTATTTCATGTTAAATTTGAATTTATTATGATTTAGATTCGTTTTATGCAACTATTATTAATATAGATTATTTGATTCATTATATTATTAATTAATTCATTAACTTCTATTGTCCAAAGAAATCTTAGTAAATTATTATGTGACAGTATTTAGAAAGACAAAAAATATTCCACATGAAATGCCACCTATTGACACACTTTTAAAAATGAGAAGAGAATGTACTCATCATTTTATTGAACAAAACGTAGAACAATGTTATGTCTATTTTTATATAATTTTAACATATAAAGGATAAAAAATTTTAATATCCAATATATTTATTAAATGGATATTTGGTAGAAAATCATTATAATTTTTTTATTAATAAAAAAGATTAAAATAAAATAAACAAATGATAATATAAAAATCTAAAAATATACTCAATATTTCGTAGCACGCGTCTATAATAAACGAGTGAGAGTTACAAAAAGTATTCAACCAATATTTATATAATTTGTTTAACTGATAATATTTAGCTTTTAAAATAAGGAAAGGATATGGCATTGGAATTCACCACATGATTTAGCCACTACTACAAATTAAAAAGTAGTTTCATTTCATAAATATATTATTAAAAATTAATTTATTTTTTGCATTTTCACTTTTTTGCTTTTATCAAATGTCTAATTTATAAAATAATTAAAGTGACAACGAAGCTAAGGGTACAATTGTACTTTACATTGTGGTGTTGCATGTACATTGAAAGCTTTTACTCCGTTTCATCTTAAATATAACAAAAAAAAATGTTGACACAAAATGAGTCCATGGAATCATCTACAACCTAAATTTTATTTAGATTCTATTTCAATAACTTTTTTCTTATTCTTAATATTAAGTCTCAATAAAAGGCATTTTAAGAAAAGTTCTAGACGAAATTATAAGATTAAACTATGCCAATTAACCTTATTAATTTTTTTTTCTTTGACTAACTTTTTATGTTATCCATAGTTCAAATAAATTATATATTTTGTTCGTAATTACAACAAGATTCTGTTTTCATTAGAATTCAAATCATATTTAAAAAAAAAAAATACTGTCCCTGTAACTGATATTTAAACCTTTTATTATAAAAAAAATATATTGTTATTATCAACTTATCAAAGGATTAAGACATTGCTCAATGGTATTCAAACAGAATCCGAGTTTATATTTGTGTTGAGTTGTCTATATAACATATGCATATGGAAGATATGTTCAATATATTTTTAGGCCTAAGCCAAGTTTAGGTGTTCTTCAATATGTTTCTTTACTGAACTTGTTTAAAATTGAATAATGTGTTCAACAAAATATACAATTCGAATAAATTGTATAATATGTTTTGAATTAGAAAAATTAACGAAACATATTTGAAGGGTTAATAAGAGTTGATTGTAATATTTATAATATTAGGTTAGACATTTATTCTAACAACCTTAACAATTAAATATTTAAATATATGTGACATTCACAAAATTAAGATAAAAAACTCATTCAAATATTTTTTTTAGTTTTATAAGAAGTTTTGTTTTTTTTAAATAATACAAAACCATACAAAATAGAAACACTAAAAAAAGTTATTTTTCATCAAATAAAATATAAATCTAATTCATTACCAAAAACGTACACCTTTCTAAAAAAATTTAATAATTACGATTATATTGAACTAACTAATAAAAGAAAGTAGTATATAATATTAAATAACTTATTTTGAAGGATTTAAATCTAAAACTTGAAACTTTTTATATTTAAAATATCAACACTCTATTATCTATTTTGGCCACATTTAGCATGTTTAGCGATAATTTCTGGAGATATATGAAAATTTTAAAATCAACAAAAAAAAATTTATAGTTTTTATATACTGTGAGTCACAGGTATTTGACAATTACATCACATGAATTCTTGTGAATGTTTATAAGTTGTAGAGATTTATTCATATAATGCCTCTAAGTGCAGATATGGCATTATCAGTTCAGTCTTTGATATATGGCAATGGAAAAAAATTGTAAGCAAAAATGAAGGGAGGCAGAAATAAAGGAAAACAATGGAAGAAACAAATTTAGAAGATCATAAAAGCATCTACAAGAACAACCTACCCTCATCCTTTTGTTGGAGAATGACAAAATATTTTTTGGTCATTAAATGTTGACCTGTTACACAGGCAAATCTTAATCAACTTGCTATGTCTGGTCAAACTTAAATGTTAGCTACAACTTTAACACGTTTATTTCTTCAATTTTAACAGCGAAGATCATAATTTAAGTTTGATTTTGACCTTGAATTAAACTTTTATTGTTGTGTGTTTCTCTCTTACATTTTCATTCGTTGTCAATTGTAAATTTGTCGACTTGGTTAAGTTGTCTGTTTGCACAACTGTTTACACTTGACAAGACCAAAGTTGGTGTTGAAGTTATTTCAAATCTTAGTTGAAATTAGTGTGTTTTGCTGTTATTGCTTTATTTATTAACATGTATTCATTTAGTTGTTCTCAATAAGTATGAATAAAGAAAAGTGGTTCAAGAATCATCCCAAATAATAGTCATCTACCCGAACCTATTCCCCGTTATAGAGGCATTTTAAATTTAAATAAAAATATATAAAATACGATAATATCATCATTGATAAAAATGATATTATTAGATCTCTTACAAAGGAAGAAAATATAATAAAAATAATAATGAAAACACTTTTAATTAAATTTAAAATAGCTTTAATTAAGGGTATTTTATATAAAAATAATTAATATAAAAAATGAATTAATTGTCATAAAAAAGACTAAACATCAATTCTTTACATAGAGGGAATAATATTAGGATGGTTTTTCTGCAGAGTTAGAAACAGAGGCATTTTCAAAAGAGTAAAAAACAATAATTTGATTGGGAGTCATAATCAAAAAACTTAGGCGTACAAAAATATCAAGTAACTAATCAAGAAGAGAGTTTTAAAATTTAATTAGGAAGAAGCATCAAGTAATAAGAAAAGAAAAAAAACTGAGAATGGCATACAACTACGTCACTCATATGTTCCAATCCATTAGAGTGAAAGGTATAAATTAATAATTGTATTGGATTGCATCTTGGCCTGTGAGTCTCTCACATGGCCAATAGAATGTGTGATGAGGGTAGGTGGGCCAGTTGTGGGCACGAAGGTAGCTACGTGCGTGGCAAAAGGAGGGTTATTCAACTTGTCACCAAACTTGGTCACGTACCAAATTCAGTTTCAGATGGCATTTGGGTCATCGATTGATTCGTAGTTGGGTGTTTTACCAATAGAAAACGAACAAGTGACCACATTCCAAGGGGCTTTTGTGTGTGCCAACTGCATGGCAGATAATTATTTGATGGTTCTCTTGATTGACATGACTTCCCTTCATGCCATGTGAGATTAATCAGTCATCCACGTCAAATAACAACATACTTTGCTGGCTGGTCTTGCTTCCCTGCTACCAAGTGAACCTCATGCTCCACCATTCACTAATTGGACAATGAGTGAGTGAGAACCATGTGTCCACAACGTAATCAGGATTCCGTTACGTACCCGTAAATGCTTTAGATTTTGTAAGTGGAATTTCAGGTCTCAAATACATAAGATAAGTATTGGAAAAAGGACATGGCCTGGCACATGGCTTCTTGTCTTCAGCTCATTCGAATGTTGCCACGAAAGCAGAATTGAAAGCTTCGAGGGTGTGAATAAAAAAAACAAAAGAAAGGGATTTGTGTGGAAGATATTTGCGGTGGATTTCTGCGCATTTACTGCTACTTCACCAAAATAATTGACAATGTTAGGCTACTTTCAAAACCAATTATACATCGCTGCATTCTGACTCCAAAATTAATGCGAGTATAGACCATGTCACCAACACATACCACCTTTCGTCAGCGTGCGAACTAACCAAGTGGGTTTTGGAGAACCAAAATTTAATTATATCAGTTCGATCACGTGCCTCTTAGGCAGTATCAAGCATTTCTGAATGGACTAAAACAAGAGTCAAACGCTGATCTTCAGTTCTGGTCATAATATTTTTCACAATATGCAACAAGGTGTAGCTCCAATTGCCTAGACTTTTGATACCAAGGAAGCAAAATTCAATAAAAGGTCACCAACTAACAGTACATGCATTATGGGTTATATTACAAGGACACCAAAAAATCGGAGGAGGCAAGAATCCACCACCATTTAGGTTTCACGAACCAAACGTAGCAGGAAATACAAGTAACAAAAAGGCACGAGCATAGCGAACAGGTCATTCTCCATGTCTTCCGCAATAACTAGGAGTGGTCTCTTTCCCCCGATTAACATAACTGATGAGAATATTCTAATTCCACATCAAAATGTGCACTCCAACACTTTCAAAAGTAAATTCGCGTATGAAATTTACCATTCATGTCTTGGATGAGGATAAAGCGGTTATCCAATTACCACACCAATTTGACCACAGTACTTTCCATTAGTACCTTCACAAGGATAAATATCTTCCTCACAAACTTTAGCAAGGAATGACTTTTGCAAATGTAAAATTTTAGATATTACCGGTTAAAAGGGTCGCTACTTACAAAATATATTCCCACAAATCCCCGCCCTACATTAATGCATTTATAATGTCAATGGATTCTTTCGGTTTGCGTTGCATCAATGCACCACGGCACAGGTTAAAAGGTTCACATTAAAAGTCTCGTCCAATCAAGGTTGACAAAAGATCGCTGAAACGTACATAAATCAACAAAAAACAAGCATTCTCATTGATGATTGACTGTGGCTCAATATCTACAACCATTAACACTTAAATGTCATAGTGGAAAATACAAAGCATACAGATGAGATTTTAAGGGCATATGAAATCTCATGTACTCAAACACTATCATACCACTGGTACTAGACACCTTGCCAAGACATTTTAAGACAGACAGAAAGAAAGGAGCATGCTATCTACAACTACTTGGAAAAACAAAAGGAAAAAGGGTACAACAAACAATTTGTTTCACCGGCCATCGGCTGAAGTAAAAGAATCTGCAAATCCAGTAGGCCTCGCGGGGATACTGCTCTTACTGTCTTCTAGGTCCATATAACTCAAGTCCTTTCCTTCTGCCTCTTGCCATCCCTTCACCATCTGGTTAAGGGGAAGGCTATAATCGATCCCGGAATACTCCTCAGTGTCATCATGAAAGGGTTTCCATTGCTCAACAAGCGGTGCCAGCACATTCACGGCATGACCCATCTCTGGCCGTTGGCTTGGTTCTCTGGCAGTGCAGTGCCCAGCTAACTCAGCAATGATGGAGATGCTCTCAAATGTTTCTTCCTTAACATCAAGGACTGGGTCAATAGCAGCCATTAGTTTCTTCTTATCTGATTTTATATACCAGAACCATGCTGCTAAGTATTGGCTTTCCTCGGGTCTTTCCTCATCAAGTGCCATTAGTCCAGTCAACAGCTCCATTAGTACAACCCCGAAACTAAAAACATCTGCTTTCGTGGTGATTTTTCCTGTCACTGAAATATATTTGAAAATTAAAACCAGGATTAGTATAAAATCTGAACATACCAAATAATTTAGGGCAAATAAAGTTGAAATTTGTGTTACAAGACAAATAATGCATAAATGAAAAGTTCATAATTAATTTTTTTTCCTATAGAATCTGTTTACTCTATTGACATGATGAAAGGAATTAAAATCGATCACGCCAATACTTAAAACCCTGTAGAACTAGTAAACAAAATACCTGCATATTCTGGGGCCAAATATCCGAAAGTCCCCGCAAGCCTGGTCACTACAGATTTTTCGCCTTCAGGAGCAAGTTTTACCAATCCAAAATCTGAGACCTTTGCTCTGAAATCATCAGCAAGCAAGATATTTGACGGCTTAAGATCTCTGTGAATGAAGCTCTGGTGAGCCAGAGTATGAAGATACTCCATCCCTCGGGCAACATCCAATGCAATATTGAGCCTCCTCTTCCAAGAGAGTGGCTCCAGTTCAAGGCTTTTCCAATGGAAAAGATGCTTACTTAGGGCCCCTTGTGGCATATACTCATACACTAGAATCCTTTCATTACCTTCAATAGAAAAACCCAATAGAGACACCAGATGCCGGTGCCGGACTTTCGATAGAACTGCAATCTCGGCTTGAAATTCATCCAATGCCTTGCTACTAATCACACCAGCTTCCATTCGTTTCACTGCAATTTTAGTTCCATCATCCAACTCTCCCTTATAAACAACTCCAAATCCACCACGGCCAAGCTCATTCTCGGGCGCAAAATTCTTGGTCACATTCCTGAGAACTTGAACCGATATTCTAAGATTTCCAGCTTCAATGACATGAGACTCCCCAATTCCACTGCTATTCCTACTCCCAGAACCACTCCCTGTCAAAGTGGAAATGCTTCCATATGTATTATTAGCAACAGCAATCTTCACAGCACTGTCCGAATCCGATGGATCTCTAGGGTGAATTACCAGTGAAGCTGGAGCTTGGAAACCGCCCTTCCTCCTCTTGAAACAATATGCATAGAGTGGAATGAGCAGAAAAGCCGCAGCTGCCACACCCGCAATCGGAGCAACAATGGAAACCAATTCTTTCCTTTTGAATTTCTTAGGTTCACGAGAATCACTCGAACTAGAATTGGACTGACCCGATGAAGGGTCAACATTCCCTGATCCAGATGATGGGTTCTTGCTCCCTGATGAAGGATTTTCAGCACCGCCGTTGAACAGAGGATTCCCAGTAACAATAGGTTTCAATCCAGTCTTAAACACAGGCAGTGGAGGAGAAATGTTATTCCCACTCAGATCTAACAATTTCAAAGATGTCAAACTACTCCAATTACCGGGCACCGCACCACTAATATCATTCCCCCCTAACCTAATCTCAACAAGAGAACCCAAATTTGCAACAGAAGGACTTAAACTCCCACTAACATTCAAATTAGGTAAATTAATCATATTCACCTTTCCATCATCATTACACTTTATCCCCAACCAATGCCCCCCACAAGGATCATTCCCACTCCACGAATCAACCAAATTCTCAGGATAATTCAATCCCCCAAGAAACTCCAACAGCGCCGTCACCTCAAACGCGCAAGGAACCCCTGATTTGTTCACACAAAAATCGTTATAATCATACGACACATGAGCCGCTTTAAAATTCGGAATCGGACCCATAAAATGGTTGTTATTCAAGTCCAGCTTGTCCAGCTTCAAGTCACCCAAACCTTGAGGAACCAACCCGACGAGGTTGTTCACATTAAGGTTAAGATCCCGCAGAGAGCTCAAATCCCCAATGTTGTCGGGAATCGTTCCAGTGAACAAGTTCCCATGAAGCCACAAACTGGTGAGCGAAACCATCGAAGCCACAACGTCAATTCTTCCAGTAAGACGCTCCCCCTGCTGGTTATTCAGCCACAGAACCTGCAACGACGCCGAGCCGTTTAGACTCAGCGGAACCTCACCCGTTAAGTTGTTGTTGGAGAGCTTCAAAAACGACAGCGAGTTCATCGTTCCGAGAAACTCAGGTAATGGGCCGGCGAGGTTGCAGCCCATACAGGAGAAATTGGTCAACTGCGTTGACCCCTGGAGAGTTTGCGGTAAGTGCCACCCGCCGGAGCTAGCGTTGAGGTTATTGTTGTCCAACGCGAGTACTTCCAAGCTCTGAAGCCCGTCAAAGAAATCTGAGGGGATGGAGTCGAAGTTATTGTTGTCAAGGTACAAGTATTTCAGATTTGACAGGCCGCTGAAGGAGGGTAATGGGCCGTTCAGCCTATTGTTCTGGAGGCCCACGTTGAAGAGATTCGTGAGCTGGTTCAGGTTCCGCGGCAGAGGACCGCTCAGGTTTAACCCCTTCGCCTGAATCTGGTTCACGCGGTTGTTACTGTCGCAGAAAATGTACTTCCATCCACATGGATCATCGCCGCTGTCCGGCCAAGGCAACAGGTCCGGGTTGTCCAACCCGTTCCGAAATTGACGCAGGATTTTGACGTCGTTCGGGTCGGCGGTGGCGAGGGAAAAGAGGAGGGTGAAGAGGAGTGTTAGTGAAGAGTGGAGCATGGCGGCGCGTGAATGCACGGTTCATCTGAGAGAGTGGAGGTGGAGTAATGTTTGGCGGGATTTGAAGCGACGCATGTTGAATCTTGGTATCAAAAGATGCAGGAGGAGTTAGAGAGAGTGGAAAAAGTGAAGATTAGTGAGAACAAGAGAATTTCGGTTGGGTGTTGCTTTTTAGAATTTCGCAATTCCCGTTACGGTGTCGCATAAGGCCTCGTCTTACTCCCATCCATATTTTTCGAAGGACGAAATGGTTTGACAGGCCCCACACCGTCACGCAGACACCTTCTCTCTCAAAGGTGGAAGAAAATCCACCATCCCCGTTGTGCTCGTTTTACTTTAATCTTAATTTCGTAGTGTTTCCCTTTTAGTATCTAATTTACAAAATAAATAATAATATTCTATAAATTTAAATTAATATACTGCAATCATTTGTCCCTCATTGTTATAAATTATGTAAAAATTATATTAATAAAACGAGTGAAATACAAGAAAATAATAAGCATATAATAAAATCCTACCTCATACAAAAAATGTAATAAATAGTTTAATACAAAGATAAATAAATAAATATAAAGCTAACATTTTTTTAAAATATACTTCAAATATATAAGTTTTTAAAAACATTACAAACTATTAAAACATTATTTATAAAAAATATTAATAAAGTTAAACAAGTTTGTATAGTTATTAAAAAAAAAAGTTAAACCTTAGTTAGAATAACGTGTGAAACATAACTATAAAAGAACGTAAGAATTAATATATGAGATTTAGTTTTAAAAAGATAAGTTTATATAAAAATTAAATGTAATATCATTTTTTTTCTTAAAATAAATCATAAAATGCATTGAATAAGTAATTTTTTCACAAATAATTAACTTATAATTAATTCAGTGATTTGGCTTCATGCGATAACCAAATTTTGAGTCAACCAGTCAAAACAGGCTTCGTATGTGTATTAGTATTATTGACTGACTTTTTTTTATTACTTTTAATAATTTTATGTTATTTAATTAAATACTTTAAAAATAATATATCAAACTTTAACGCCTACTATTGCATAAATTAATAATTTAAAAAGTATTGGTAAAACTTTTTTTGTGTTCATCAATAATGCATCTTTTTATGGTAAACCACAAAGCTAGAAAAGAAATGAACAACATCGACGTAACCGTAGGTCACGCACATTATTTTACCGGACAAATAATATCGCATGATTATTTTTTTCTTTTTTTAACAGTGAAATTACTTTTGATTCCTTTCCAGTGATTTTTCAATTGTAAAAATATATTTAGAAGAAAAGTTACGATATTTTAACACGAAAACCTATCACTAAGGATTTAAAGGTATAACAACAACACATACAACTAATTTTACCAATTTGTACAGAATAGTAATAGGTTTAAAATTAATGACAGTTGGGTGCATCTAATTTGTTATTGCACGATAATTTAATAGTTAATTATTGGTGAAAGTCTCTTGTTTATTTGATATGCTTTAAATTTATATTAGGTTATTCTACATATTATCAATTGGTTTTATGTTAAAATCTTAACATGGTATCATAGTCAAAGTCTAATATATTTTTGTTTATTGTCATTAATCAAAAGTTACCCTTTAATTGGGTCAAAAGTACTATTTGTCTGATTCAGGTAGACTTTGTTGGAGGGGACGTGTTGAAGGTTATTGTGATGAGTCAAAAGTTATTATTTAGTTGAATTAAAAGTACCATTTGCCATATTAGACTACTCCACATGTTGCCAATTAGTTTTATATTGGAACCTTAACAATTACATATTTACACATTCATTTATCTACTAAAAAGATGAAAATTAGAATATAAACAGGTGATTTAACTCGTCAATCTTAATCTGTTTTAACTAATTTATCAACTCGATAGATTAAAAGATTGATTAAGAATGAGATAAACATATGAATGAACTTTAAAATAATATTTATATATTAAAATAAAAATAAAAAATTATATTTTTTTATTATTTATTACAATAGTAAATATATAATAATATAATTTACATTATAAAATTAATTAATTAAATTTAAATTATTAATTATTTTAATATATAAATATAATAAATTTTTAATTTATATGATAAAAATATTAATTAATAAATAAAAATTTAAAATTTATTCATACAATTAAAAATATATTAAAAAAATACATGTAAAAAAATTTATTAATGAATTAACCAATAAATCCAATTTTTGGTGAGATAAATTAAAGTATGTAACATGTACTAATTACGGTGAATACTTCATCTTATTATAGATTTTGGTGGATGAGATGCGAGACCGATAAAATAAATTAACCTATTTGATTATGCTAAATATATATTTAGTGCAATAGTCCAATACATTTATTTTAGACAAGTTGTATTTGTTAGAATAATAATGTGCAAACAAATTAATTGAACACATTTGATGGATGTAAAAATATTGTTGCCTTTAACTATTTAAGAGTACAAATAGGAGTATAAATACAAAAAATGTGTTAATGAAACTTTGAATTCTAAATAGTTTAAAAAGATAAAACATCATAAATATAAATCAGAAATAGTTGTTGAGTCATGAGTGAAACCTAATATTTTGACCTTTAGCCGCCCGCACTCACAGCCTCATCTAGCTACCGTGTTAAATTAATCAACAAAGAAGAGAGTTTTTTTTTTTTTTGTTATTATTATTACGAAGAGCAACTTCTTAACTTACTACTCAAGTCTCTTCAATATTAAAAAAAATGTAGGAGTTTATAAATTTTAATTTTTATTTTAATTTTTTAAGTATGACTTCTAAAAAATATTAAAAAATTTATCCTCGAAGACACTGGTCCATTGAAAATCGTAGTTTTTGTTTGGTATACAATCTTAAACGGAATTCCAACATATGTAAACACTTACATATAAAGAAAGATTTCAGCACAAAACGACAAGTTTTCTTATGTGTTTTGCAGCTCTAAAGCAACGGATAATTTTGTTTTTCTCACAATTCTCATTGTATTTGGCAAAAAGAGCTATATTGGGTTATGGAGGAGTATTAAGGAGAAAAAAAAACTAACTCATTTATTGATTAGGAATCGGTGAAAGAAAAGAGAAAAATAAAAATTTAATGAAGAGTTCTATTATTTTTTTTCAATTTGAATACAAACTAATTAGTTTTATTTTTACTGTAAAATACAATAACAATAATAATTTTTAACGACAATTATTTTAAATATATTATTAAAAGAGATGCAGTTATATTTTTGAAATTATAATTAATTATATGATAATCCTTGCTGAAGATAATATCAATGATAAATTTTTAATAATTATTATTATATCTTCGTCTTTTTTTTTTTTTTTTGCATATTTTTTTATCGCAATCAGTTCCTCAACCACTCTTTTCTCTTTATAAATTTTCTATAACTACTCTACGAGATCGTTAGATTCTTGGTCCTCACGTAATAACATATATAAATCTTAATAAGAATATTAATATTGATCTATGATAATCTGTTCTTTAATCTTTGTATTCTCCAATTTCTTTTTTTCAATCTATCTTTTTATTTTTATTTTTCTCCTCTCACACTTTTTTGATGGTTTAGTGTAAAAAGAACCTTATAGTCAGAGATAAAACTCTCTTCGTTATTAACCTGTGAGAAGAAAAGTCTCATATCAGGAAAATCTTAGTTTGTTGCTTCCTTTTCTTACTATAAAAGGAGCACAATATTTACCTTGTAAGATGCACCAAAATCACTTCCTTTTCTTTCTCTTGCTGCTTTAGTACTTGAGAGATAAATTAAGAGAGAAAAATAGTTTCTCCTTTTATGTTCTCTTAGAGTTGTTTTTCCTTTATTTTCAAGAGAGAGTGTTATTGTTTCCTCCTTGAAGGTAGAGAGAAATGTTGTAATTTCTTTCAGTAGTGGAATTACTCTTTTGCCTATTGTAGGTGTTTTTCTCATCTTTTTATTTTAGTTGTGTGTGCTTATACTTTTGTCTAATACCTAATAGTAGGGTTTTATGATAATGTGTTCTTTAATTTCTTTATTCTTCAATCTCCTTTTCCCAATCTATTTTTTTCTCTTTTTTTCTCCTCTCACATTTTTTTATGGTTTAGTGTGAAAAGAACCTTATAGCTAGAGACATAATCCTCTTCATTATTAACCAACATCCATCATCAAGTTGGTTACCGTAAATTTTTATTTTATTCTGATTTTTCATAATAATCAATATGTTATTATATTTTATTAAATCACATGTGAATTTATCATTATATTTTACATAAGTCACATAATAGAATTAATTTAATTAATTAGTTCTATCATTCTCTCACTTGACTCATGTGATATCATATCATTCCATAATTTAATACTTAAGTCATAATGCGCATTAAAAGACCTTACATAAATTGGTTCTATCATCATTCATAATTAAATATACAATTATAACAAGAGTCATGACGGTTACATGTGATTCAATCAAAATGTTCCCTTTCATGTACTACTATATTATCTCTTTTTCTTTAATATGATTTTATAATGAAAAGTCCATAATGAGTTCAAATATAATATCATTTTTAATAATAATAACATAATTTATTTTCTTCATCATAACTTGCATGCATATAAATAAATAAATAAACACAAAATTCAAAAACTTATACATTAAAGATCTCAAAGTGTCACATAAGCATTAATAATAATATTATCATTCAACATTCATTAGTAAACATAATGTTCATATTCACTATATGGCCAACAAACAACTTGGACGGTAATCCTTTTGTTAAAGGATCAACAATCATAAGATCAGTGTCAATATGTTCTATTGACACTCTTCATTTCTGAACTTCTTCTTTAACGATAAAGTATTTCAATTCCATATGTTTAGCACCTTTGGAATACTTGTCGTTCTTAGAAAAGAAAATTGTTGTAAAATTATCACAATAAATTTTTAACGATTGACAATGTTGTCAACTACTGCAATTCCAAAAATAAAATTCTGCAACCA